AAGGAAGGAAGGAAGGAAGGAAGGAAGGAAGGAAGGGGGGAAGGAAGGAAGGGGGGAAGGAAGGAAGGGGGGAAGGATATTCATTCCCAGGCTTCTGGGGCTGTCTCAGTACAACTGTTTGTGGACACAGAAAGATGTAAATTAAGGAACTGATCTACATTAAAGATTGTCTCTTCTGGGTGGTTATTTTGATCCCAGATTAGGTTCCTAATCCTGTGCACTGAATGGCTTCAGACATAGTTACAGCTGAGGGACAGGAACAACTGAGAGGGTGTAGGGGTTGTTTAAACTAGTATTGCTGTTAAAATATGTAGTTAGGTGTCAGATAGGCTCTTCCTGTGCCCTAGGCACATAAGGCACACTGATCTGAGGTACCCATTATGTGGGACTATGAACACGGCATAAATATCCCATATGTGAATAAACGTTTGGCAAGAAATGCTCATTTTCACTGATCTTGCTGCAGAACCAGAATATCTAAGGAGGAAGACATGGATTCTGCACATCTTCCTTCAGCTGCAAATGAAATTGCTACTAAAACCTAGTCTTAGATCTGCATAGCCATGGTAAGTTAAAAAAAAAAACAAAACAAAACAAACAACCAAACCCAAAAACCCCCCAATTGCTTCCTGCAGGGCATAATTTCAAAATAAGGGTGTGAAGAGTAAGACAGCCTTTTGAGCTACCCAGCCTTACTGGTGGTACCTATTTGAAGATCCCAGTCTGGATTTATGAGTTTGCCATTTAGTACAGTGAGTGCTTGTACTGGAGATACACAGCATGAAACCACCAACTGTGCCATTACCAGCAGAACAATCTAGCACATTTAATCACAGGAGCATACATTGACACAACAGGGAACATGATTTCTTGAAAGAACATTATGCTAAACACATGTGGGAAGTATCTTTGGCTATTGCTCAGCAAACTTTACATCAGTGCCCACCAAGTGCCACATGGAGAAGATAAGGCTATTAATGAGGTTTATTATTAGGGGGTCCCAAATTCATGTTTAAATTCATAACGTGTTGACTTTGTGCCAATTTAGCATTTTATTTTTCTTTATGAAAAAGGCCTTAAAATTCCCAAAACTTTCTCTAGAAAAATATGTTGCAATTGATGAAAAATGTTGTTCCTGCCAAACATTTACACCTGGCAAGATTCACTGTGCTGCACTACAACTACCATTAGCCAATCTCCAAAACTTTTAGGCAAAACTGGAAGAAAACCCTTGAAGATCTCATCAGCTGCAGACACAGGTATGTTAGACATGTGTAAGAATGCAGCAGTGTGAGACCCCAAAGAGCCATATAAGGATGTACCTTTTGCTCAAAAAAAGCCAAAGGAGTTGTGAGAAGTGAAGAACCATAACTGTTTGTTTTTCAACCTGCCTTTGGCTGTATTAGATGTTCTGAGTTTAGGCACATGCAAATACTAGAAGGCATGAGGACTTTCCTAATTTATATGATGGTGGAAACTGGAGAAAGTGTAGTGAACAGCTGCAAAACTGACTCCGAAAAGGAAAGAAGCTTTGGAAGGCCTGTCTGGTTAGCTCGTCCAGATGATTATAATTATGGAATAACAGTCTGAGCCACCATCTCTTCACCAGTATGGAGTACTAGATAATATGCAGTGCTTTAAATGTAAAGGACAAACAAGAACCAGTGGTTGGATATTAAAGCAGAAATGTTTCAAATGAGAGTAATCCACTTATGTTTCAATAGAGGGAGTGATTAACTACCAGAGAAACTAATGCTGAGTTCAGCACTGCATGTCTTTAGATGAGGACTAAATGCTTCTCTGTCAAATAACCTGTTTTTGAGTAAAAACTACTGAGCTTAATGTAGAGGTCATCAGAGGAAATGCTACTGTCTATCTGAACATGATTTTCAAGAAGGGTTTTTCCTTCCAGGCCAACAGTTTAATTTCACTCACATTTTTCTAACATTTTCCTGCTATCAATACAGGATGGTGGCACGCCTAAAGGTTACTACTACTTGTTAATTTTTTTTAATCTCAGGCAGATTAAATATTACCAGATGTTTTTCCATGCTGTAATTAAAAATCAGAAATTCTTGTACTTACTATTATTGCAGTTGTCTCCAGAGTAGCCCACTGGACAACTACATGAGAGAAAAAAAAAAAAAAAAGCGGAAAGAAAGAAAAGAAAGGTAATGTCATTAAGCAGATAATCAAAAAACAATAGTATATTTCTACTTTTTATTAGCAGTTTCCCTTCAAGGTGTCTTCATTACAGATTTCCTCTTTAATGTTAACTTAATATTGAATTATTTAATTTCACTGTTAAAATAATCTGAGATTTTCAGAGTGATTGGTGAGCTGGGCACTCAAAATTCCAGGTTCACAGTCTGAAAAAGTTAAAAGGGCCTAATTTCTCCAAAGAGCTAAGCTCTACACCTCCGAGCCGCTCTGAATTGCTACACACTATCTTTATCAAAAGCCTCAATATAAGGTCTATAGGGACTGGCAGTTCTTTGTCTTCCCCCTGTAATTGTTTATTTAAAATATATTGACTTTATGGTAAGGAGCATTCAGTGTGCAGCAGCAGTAACTACAAAAAGAGCTGAATTAATGGATACAGGGAGTAAGTTCTTTGTGCTTATCCATGGGAGCAGCGCACAACCAGTCACCTGCTCAGCTTCGCCAGCAAACAACATTGCTCTGTTCTGATCCTGAGATAACAGAAATACCCATGGAGAGGAAACCAAGACGAAATACCATAGGACTGAAAGTTAACAAGAAACAGAGTCCCCAGTGATATCAACGGAAACTTTCCAGGGATTTGAAGCAAGTCTGTCTCTAATGCCTGTTGCTTACTAAATGCTTCAGCATACCAGTTCCCATGGCTCAATTACTCCGTAAGAATAGTTTATGTTTATGTTGGCAACCCCCAAAATAAACATGAAGTAGTTTATCCTCTTCATTGACTCACAAATGACCTTGGATTTCCTTGACTTTCCTCTGAGGTATTATGAGTGCACACCAACGGCTAATGCCAAGCAGTTAAAATGCCATAACTTGTTACACTAGGCAAATTTGTCCACCTGCTAACCACCTCAGGCACCTCCCTGATTCACACAGCTGCATCCTGTTCTTCTAGACTGAGGGTGACCTCCTTCTCCACTTATCTTTGCCTAGAACACAGGAACACAAGAAAAATCTGAGTACTCACGCTACACATTCTTCATCCTTCTTTTCAAAGTTAGTCATGCATTTGCATGTTGGAATCCCTTTTTCTTTTGCACAGTACTCATTTTCTTCTGCAGAACAGTCTTCACTGCAATCTGTATATTCAGAGGAAAAATAAAAAGTGAATTGAAGATAATCCCCCCAAAAATCAACATAACCCCCCAGAAAATCAACATTGGAGAAAATCAAATCTCCCTTTCCTTTTTTTTTTTTTTTTTTTTTTTTTAGAGCAACAGAATGGCTTTTTTAGGGCTATACCTATATAGAACAGATACTGAAGTACAAAAGCACAAGATCAGAAGTAAACAGTCTTTGTTTAAAACCATCCAGCTTCATCAGACCAGAAATCTGGCTAGGCTGCATCTTACATAGACAAGCAATGACCTACAGTTTAATCTCACAGCAGATGATTTTTATTGCAACTGATCTATTATAAAACTGGATCATATTTAGACAGATTAGGGACCACAAAGGCCCACGCTGGATCACATCTCACTGGCCTTGTTGTAGCCACCTTTCATAATTTTGTCATGAGTGTTTGCAATATTTGTTGTTTTTCTTAAAATCTCATAACTTAGACTTTTTTTCTGTAGTGTGAAAATTTTAATTTTCATAAGAAGAAAATAAGGTACATCTCAGGGCTGTGAAGGATAGCTAAAAATATAAACAGAATACTCATTAAAAGGTTCAAAACTAGCATGCAAATAAAACCTCAACAACAGTTCCTAAAAATCACACAAATCATTCTTCCCAGAAAAACCTGTCTAAACACAGTCCTAGAACTACCAACAAGGGACAGAGCTTTAACAGATTGTTGTAGCGCATCATGAGACTTCCAGTTCTGTCAGCATCCCCATAGCTGTCTCCAGGTAACATGTAGAATTTATTCCCAAAATGTGTCCTAGCAGGGAAGGCTGTGAATATAGAATTCAATTTGTTCCATATTTTACCTATTTAGATTTCAATTCTTACCAAGAGTTTAACAATGCATTTGAAGAGTTGCCCACTCACTGGTTTCAGTGATAATTTTCTCAGGCTTTAGTAGTTTATTCTATGGGAGTAGAATTACGGATGTGTTTAAAGTGAAACATGAGAATGTGTTTCTATGGCTTTCTTAAGACGACACACATTTCCTGGTTTTTAGAGGTCAGCACATTTGTGGAGCACTCTTTTCAAAAACAGACTGAGACAGGGAATAATCATGTCAGCCTTTCAGAGATAGATAAAGTAGCAAAGTTCTTACCCGAACAAGAACGATCATCCCATTCTGTCCTTGAGAAACCATCTCTGCATATGCATTTTGGAAACATACTGTCTTCACAGGTTGTGGTTTGAAGGTCACAATTAAAAGCGACACAATAGGTTGTATCTTTAAAAAAGAAACAACCAGGAAAGAAACCTGAGTACTAATAATATCATTTCATAGAAAGCAATGCACTTGCTCAGTAAATCATAAACCAACTATTTAGAAACTCTGAAAAAAACCTTTAAGACCTTTTTTTTGAGACATCAATACTGCAGGCATTTGAACTAACCCTTTCTTTTCCCTTGCTCTTTACCAATTAAGGTCCTGTTTCCATCACATCTTCTGACCTTCTGTTTCTCAGCCTCCTACAACTGCCTCTAAACATTCCTTGCCTCCAGTCCATGAAGAGGGAACTTATAGGTTCACATTCTGAACACTGGCTTTATGACTCACCTTAAAAAAAAATGTAGAAAAATCCCAGCACTGTTCCCTTAGTTTTTTCTGCAACTGAACTGTGAGGCCCAGATTTCATACAGTTCTACATAGATATAAATATTTATGGGCATGCAGCAAATTTCACAAGCAATATTATTATGCTGTTTGTCCAGCATGTTGCTCTTTAGATCCATGTCCCAGTGGTGGGAATGGTTTACAAACTTCAGTGGGTGGGATGGAGTGGAGGAATGTGATTGCACTGGTGCTTTGTGAGCTCTCAGGAATTTTCTATATCCCCCTCATGTTTAGGACCAGCACACAGAAAATGTCATGGCTGAGGAGGATACAGTCACCTTCAGAGACAAAATTCAGGCTATAAGCCATGAAATGGACTCCTTTAATTATTAGCTACACTTTCATGAAAGCTGATTTCAAAATATGAGCATATTTAAAAAAAAAAAAAAAGATTAAAAAAATCCATGTTTTATTTAGAAAATCATTCTCTAAGTATTACACTTTCAGTAACACAAGACTTTACTGGTTTATACCAATGAATCACTCAGCAAAGTAGCTAATCATTGAGGCCACATTTCAATTACCATGGTTAATTATCGAAGAAGAAGTCTAAAGATAGAGTTTCATCCTACTTTGCCAGTAAAATACTGTCTTGTTCTCAGAAGCACAATATATGTCTGTATATATTTTGTCCTGATTTTGCCATCCACTTCGCACTCAGCAGGTTAAAATCAACATGATATTGCTTACTTGGGAATAAGTATTTTCCTTCTCTTCTTCACACAGGAAGAAGAAAGCCTTAAGACAAAAAAGCCCAACACTGAATGGTTGAGTCTTCAAAATTACCTAAGATTGAATATTCAGCTCCTTAAAATCAACAAGGCTTATGCTCTGATGGGCTTTGCTGCACACAGAAATGTTCTAACCAGCTTTGATGATAGGAACCTTTGTTTCTGCTGATTATTTACTTCCACAGTAGGGAATTACATACCTTTGTACAGAGAGACATAGGACGAATTATTTGCTGCTTTATTTATTGCAGAAGTAACTGTCTCTTGGATTACAGATGAGTTCTCCATAAACAGGTTTGTCACTATTACATCAATTGAAGAAGAAGCTCTGACTTCTTTTTGAGGTCTGAAAAGTACAGATAGCATCCTTTTAAAGTCACGTATAATCCATATGGATAGCAAGTTAGATGCAAAGACAAGAGATTTCTGCCAAACCTGCCTCTCTCATCCCACAATGTAGCTAGTTGCTAAGACACCTGAAAATAAATTCAAGTTTTGTTTAGGAATAAATTAGTGGCCATCTTTCCAGTAGATCCAGATGTAAATAGGTAGCTGGCAAGCAAAAGCTGTTGGATTCAATGCTAACAACATCAGTTCTTTGTGTACTGTTATCACGCAACTAATATTTTTTACTGGGCTAGCCTCAAGCCAGCTGCAGCGTAGAGGACCTCATCTGTTAGGCTCTAACTTTTATATGCTTGCATCAGCCTGAGGCATGATCCAGGCATGACGTGGAGAACCCATCCTGAAGTATGGTGAGGATAACTTAGGTACAACCACGATGAACTGAGAAGGGTCTCTCTGCAATGCAGAGGTTTCTGTGCTAACTGCATGCTAGCTGGGTTGGGTTCAGCTGGACAGCAATCTCCCTGGTAGAGAGCAGCAGTGACTACCCTCTTCTTCAGCTAAACTTCATGCCACTGGGAAAGGCATACAAATACCTTTAAGTGGTAGATTGCTGTAGTGCCTTAAGATGTTACTGTGCCCCATGTGTCTGTCACAACCGCTCTGCTGGAAGTTACTGCCCTCACAACTTGGCTAGAACAAGAGTCTGCTTAACTGCTTAATCCATGGAGTTTGCTGAAAATTTTACACTGCTGTGTGTGCTAGCATGACAGGTTTTGCTTATTGTGGGTTAGGGAGCTGTCACTAGGAAGCTGTCAGAGCTCTGGGGACAGTGACCTGTAATAGATGTGGATAGGAAGAGAGGGACATCTTACAGTGTCTGCCTAGATCAGCAAAACACCTATGCTCACAGCTACAGTCACCACAACCCATTTAATAACATCTTTACTCAGCCTGCCATCAGGAGAGACCAGCAAATGCACAGTGAGATTTCTGGCTTTCTGTACTGAGAGTGTTTTTCACATTAAACTGGGACTCCAAATTGGACCTGTTCATAGGAACCTTGGGTTAACTCTTACAGTTTCAGAGATATGTCAGAGATCACAGAGCCTGTTAGTTATAGCACAGTGCTATATCATGGTGCTAAAAGTGGGACTGTGGAGCTGTCTCAGCCAGCCCACTTCACAGACATACTGGAAATCCATGGGGTAAAAATGGGGTCAGCATCCCAGAAACTTTAAAAATACAAAAAGAATGTCCTCCTTTAACAGGAGGCATACTGAACTGAACTCATATCCTTTACTGAATTGAGTACTCCATGGGAAACAGCTTAAAATGGGATGTGTGGGAAGCATTTACTGTGCAAAGACCAAACTATCAAACTTACTGAATTTTCACGATGACAGTCTGTCCGAAGCCTTTTAAATCTTTGAAGGCATTCCCAAACTATAAAAGATAAATGAAGTTGAGTTAAAGGCAAGCAGAAATATAGACCAAAATCACACGAACCACTGAGGCTTCAACTGTAAAGCTTTCATCCATAACATGCTACTATAGGCACAAATAAAGCAAGCTGCTCTGTCACATCCACCGTGCAAAATAATGCAGAAGAGGAGTGGTGGGTTGGTGCTGTAGAACGTGGAATATGGGAGAGCAGTGGAGGGATGGGGACACATGAATTGAATGAGTGCCAGGCAGTGCATTAGGGCTGACTGGCTCTATGGCTACAGATAGTCCCTTGCAGACCCATCACTTAGAAGGGCATCTCCACATTACCAACCTACATACAAATAGGAGAAGTAGGCACCCTTACAGATGCCACGTGTCCCTAAGATGCAGTGAGGTGGGATTGTCAGGGTTAATCTTGCTGGGAGGAGCACAGAACTGATGAAACCATTGAGGATTGGATGGGGTCAGTAGAAAAGCTACCACTCTCCCTCATGCTATGCCAAGCAGGGAACAACTGGTGGAGGCAGCCATCTCCAACTGCCACACAAGCGGAAGACTCCATGAGAAAAGGATGTCATAAGTCAACTGAAATGAATGATAAACTATCCTTCTTTGTAATAAAATAAAAATTGTCTATGCTATTTTCACTTTTGCATACTATTAGGTATCTATTCTAATGCTGCATATCATGCACTTCTGTACCTGTCATGAAAAAAATGTTGGACAAAAAAATCGAGGAAAATATTTTCTAACATTCTGGAGGGACATTTTTGTGTTACTTTCTGATAAAACATTCATAGAAAGCAATATAATAACATGAATAATTTGATAACCATTTTTGATTAATTCTGACTAATGTTTGGTGAATATTTTTTGATCAGCTGTCTGGTAGAGTTGCATATATCTTCTTCCTTACTTCCAGAAAGTGACATAAGCAAATCCACTTGTTTCAATATGATTGTATAAATTAAACTGTTAATCTTATTTCTCCAGGAAATCCATTACTACATTTTATCTATCATCACAGAATGCTCAAAATGTGTAATATCCATTTCATTAATAGATATAAAATGCTGACACTTGGTATACTTATGGAAGAGGCTTATTATTTAGGTATTTAGACACAGATGGACAGCCATTCTGAAAAGTTTGTTCAGTGTGGAAATGACATCTTTCTTAAAAAAAAAAAAAATGTTCATTTTTACTCGTACCACTGGATATTACTTAGCCCTCAGCAAACAGTGATGATCAGAAACGAAACGCGTTAGAAAACTTCACTCAGCCCCATGGTTTCTGGGAATGGTGAAAGATACAGACCAATTTATGTGAGAACTTCCCAGAATAGAAGTGGCACTAAAAATGTGGATATTACTTATTTCAGGTACATCCATCCCTTCACTTCAGTAAAAACCATGCATGGACTCATCTGAGGGCAAAATTCAAGTCTTTTATGAATAGGTCTAAGCTACTGTGAAAAATTAATTGAAAGAAGTAGATTTCTCAAGTGGAACTGTTCTAGGCTCCACATTAAAGGTAGTGTATCCCCCCTCTATCTGCATGACATTCAGGATAGCATTAAATATATAGAAAAATAAAAACCATCATCACTCACAAATGCTGTTATATTTTGGAACATTTCTTCATACTGCACAGAATTTATATTTTGAATACTATTACTGTAAGTTCCTTTCAGTGTAATGACCCCTGGGTATATTTTTCCTGGAATGAGAACAGAGAATATTCATCAATTAGAAAGCATTCAAGTATGTTGCACTTCACCTTAGAGTTCTCCAGCCTTCAGAGATGGAGAAATACAATACAGAAATAAGTCAGTGTTATTTTTCATATACTGGAGGAATCAGTAGGAGAAAAATGTTTGTTCAGTCACTTCAGCCACAATGGGGGACATAATTTGGCTACCTGGGAAGCAGGCAGAATCCTGGTTTCAACCAAACTGGCCAGACTATGAAACTAAACAATGTTTAAGCATAGCCTAAAGCTAACGCAAGACTCCATCTGAGGTGTCACAACATTTAGTGAGAAAATGCCTGTATTAAGAACTCCAAACTTGCAGCCACTAAGCAACTAACATGGTTCACCATATCTGAGAAAGCAATTCAGTATCTACCCACTTCTTTAGGCTCACAAGCAAATTTGAGAATCCTGCTTGCAGGTACTTAAATAAGAAGCCCTGTTTGCTAACATGCTTGGCTTTCAGCAGCATCTTAGAGATGCATTTCAACAGGACTCTGATGAGTGTTTAGCAAAAGGGAATATCAAGCCAGTTGTTTAGAGGTCTTCATGGGTTTGGGCCTTTTTAAATCCTGGCCATTAATATTGATGTGAGGTTTACATTTGCATTTTTTCCTGCTTTTAACCAGTTTAATCTCCAGCACACCTGACAGAGAACTCACCTTCTTTTCCTAGCACATTAACCTCTTTGGCTGTTACTGTTTTGTGAGATAACAATCTAGGTCACTGTGGCAGTGGCTGTCTGCAAAGCAAGGCATTATTCAGCAATCACTTTCCCAGACTGATTATGTTTTCAGTTATAACACGAGAACAGGGATATAAGAAGAAAAATTCACCTGAACAGTTATTTGTGAAGTAACTAAAAATATAAATTGCCTTTCTGCAACTCACCTTTATGACAATCCTTATTGCTATAGTAGAACCCATACCTGCACAGGCAGGTAGAAGTGCTATTTAAAGCAACACATGTAGCCAGTTGTCCTCCACAAGGGTCTGGATTGCACAACTCCACTGATACAAAGATGAAAGATAACGACATCAGGATTTCTATGAAATTGCAATAGCCAGTTCATATATAAAGTAGTTCATATATCAAATAGTTCATATATACTTCTACTAAATGAAATTACCAGGTAGAGTATAGATGCAATTAAAGAGCACATGGCTATGTCTTGCTTGCTTAATGTCTATATAGTAACTGTTTTCCCTAAACAATCCAGCATGATAGAACAGTGGGGACACAGAGTAACACTGAAATTCAACACCTGTCTTACTGAGCATTCACAATTTAACTCTATTTAATACAACTAAACCTAAAACAAACAAAAAACTATATTAAGGTTTGCCAAAATCAGTGACTAAGTTAGAAAAATGCAGACTACAATGCCCTGGGTGTCCTTAATACTGCACTGGTATTTACTTGCCTTATTATAGTACAGTGTCATGGTAGGGTCCTTTACTGCAAACATATTAATAAAATGAAGGCTCCCAAGCTAACCATCATAGTATATATTCCTCAATAGACATCAGAGTATGCCAATAAGGAAATTGTTGCAGAGCTTGTTACAGCTGTCACCATAACTATATTAACTGGCCACTATACCATGCCTCTACAGCAGTTAAACTTCATGGATTTGTGCTGACTGCTACCTTCTACTTACTTGCAGGAGTTGTTGATGAAAAGAATGTTGTGTTCATTTCTGGAAAAGGGAAGATAACTACATATGTCAGTCCTGTTAGTGCCTTGGTTACACTGAGGCCACTGAAGGCAGAATGATATGATGCCTTAAAAACTTTCCTAAACTTTCTTCTACCTTGCCCTGTACTGCAGCCAGTGCCTTGCCCTTATATCCTGCAACCTGTTGCTCAGTGTAATTTACCCTGTATGCCTGTCTGTGGTATTTCTTCTCCGGCAACCTCTCTAATTGATTTGTCCTCTCCCTGCCATTTTTTTCTGTCCAAAGGCTCTGCAGAGTATGCACATCTCTCCCTCTCCACAATGCCAAGCTAATCATTGCTACACCAAGACAAGGGTAAGGTTCTTGTTTCTACCCTCACAGCATATTCTGTGTGTATCCAGAGCATCCTGTAGCTGAAGCCTCTGTCCAGAGCCAATCCAAGTCCTCTTGGACTCCAACATGTTTAAACACTTGGAAGACTAGTAGCACTACAGGAAAACTTCCAGCTAATACTTCCTTAAAAATCATCTTGTGAGAGGCTAGCCGGGAAGCATGCACAGAAATAAGAAAAAGAAAAATCTTCAAAAGATTAAATAATAAATGCACCAGGAGAAAGAAATGTAGGGAGTAGTGGAAAGGAAAAGACTTAATGAATTTACATTGGCTAGAAGGCACATCTCCAGATATTCTGTGTCCAGAGCACCTACAATAGTTTTTATGGAGGAAGAGCGCACATGCAGAAAGCAACAATGCTTGAGAAATAATCTCCAACACATTCCCCTTGCTACAAAGGCCAGCAGGGAAGAGTGGAAAGGAAACACAGCACTGACAGGAATCTCTTTAGATCCTCTAGAACTTCACACAGGGAGGGGGTCTTGCCAAGGCATGGAGATTTCCGTGAAGGGATCACTCCAAGGTCCCTGGCCAAGGACCCTGGCACTCAGCCCGATGCTGGTGGCTGCCCCAGCTCCCTCACTGCCCACACTCCAAGCAGCCACAGGAACAAATCCCAGCAGAGCCTGGTCATGGGCTTGCCCTGAACACCTCATCTGCAGGGATGCTCTTGCACTCAGGGCTGGTGTGGCAAGCAAAGGCACCAAGCAGGAAAAGAGCAGCCAATCCAAATCTTCCCCAACACTTTCCCCTTGCACTAAAGGCCAGCAGGGAAGGAGGGAAGAGGAGGGGAGAAGATTGACGGCCTTGATCTGGGCACATTTGTCTCCCCATGGGAGAGAAACACAGAGAAACCTGGGAAGAGGAACTCGTCCCTGCCTGCGGGGCCTGCAGCGCTCTCTGGCACCGAGTTACTCCAGTTCATCCTCAGAAGGGGCTGACTGAGGGATTTTGTTTCTTACCTGTAGTTCCTGGGGTTGCTGTCACAGGTGTATCCCCAGTTGTTTCACTGTTTCCTGCTGATGAACAGAAAAAGAGATGGTCACACAGGTTAGTGGTGTGTGTTGGAAAAGTCTTGGCAAACTCTCTGTGTGCAGGACAACCTCTGAGTAGGGAAGGGGAGAACTTCATAGGGCTGAGCCACCAAACTCCTGGCACCCTTGCCCTGCCTTTGGGCTTTCCCTGGCCATGATGCCTCTGTAGTTTGACATGCCCATAGCCGCTTTTCCCCAGATCCCAGGGCTAGAGCACATGTCCCACAGAGACAGTGCATTGCCCACAGCTCAGCTGCACTCACTGGCCACAGCTGTCTCACCCACGGGCACATGTGTGTCTCCCTGCAGCAAAGCTCCCTCCACCTCCCCAAACCAGAACCACACGGCCAGGACCGGCTCCCAGAGCAAGTCAAGGGGTGTCATCACACTGTGTACAGCCCACACACCCTCTGCTCTCCCATAATGGCCTTCACCTCCCCAAAATCAGCAAGGGGAAAGTCTGAGGCAGAGATCGTTCCAGATGGTGGGCAGATGTGATGGGAAAGGGGGTTGCTGGCGAGAAGGATGAACACATCTGAGCACACCATGGAGGAACAGATGAGCATATAGGCAGCATTCACCTCCTCAGGGTGAACCCAGCAGGAGCTCTGACCAAAATGGATGGGGTCCTCAAGTGCCACACTGGGACAGGGCGCTTGGCCGTGGATGGAGAATTCCTAGGAGGGATCACTCTGTGGTGCCTGGCCATGGCTCCTGGCATTCAGCCCCATGCTGGTGGGTGCCCCAGCTCCCTCACTGCCCACACTCCAAGCAGCCACAGGAACAAATCCCTGCAGAGCCTGGTCATGGGCTTGCCCTGAACACCTCATCTGCAGGGATGCTCTTGCAATCAGGGCTGGTGTGGCAAGCAAAGGCACCAAGCAGGAAAAGAGCAGCCAATCCAAATCTTCCCCAACACTTTCCCCTTGCACTAAAGGCCAGCAGGGAAGGAGGGAAGAGGAGGGGAGAAGATTGACGGCCTTGATCTGGGCACATTTGTCTCCCCATGGGAGAGAAACACAGAGAAACCTGGGAAGAGGAACTCGTCCCTGCCTGCGGGGCCTGCAGCGCTCTCTGGCACCGAGTTACTCCAGTTCATCCTCAGAAGGGGCTGACTGAGGGATTTTGTTTCTTACCTGTAGTTCCTGGGGTTGCTGTCACAGGTGTATCCCCAGTTGTTTCACTGTTTCCTGCTGATGAACAGAAAAAGAGATGGTCACACAGGTTAGTGGTGTGTGTTGGAAAAGTCTTGGCAAACTCTCTGTGTGCAGGACAACCTCTGAGTAGGGAAGGGGAGAACTTCATAGGGCTGAGCCACCAAACTCCTGGCACCCTTGCCCTGCCTTTGGGCTTTCCCTGGCCATGATGCCTCTGTAGTTTGACATGCCCATAGCCGCTTTTCCCCAGATCCCAGGGCTAGAGCACATGTCCCACAGAGACAGTGCATTGCCCACAGCTCAGCTGCACTCACTGGCCACAGCTGTCTCACCCACGGGCACATGTGTGTCTCCCTGCAGCAAAGCTCCCTCCACCTCCCCAAACCAGAACCACACAGCCAGGACCGGCTCCCAGAGCAAGTCAAGGGGTGTCATCACACTGTGTACAGCCCACACACCCTCTGCTCTCCCATAATGGCCTTCACCTCCCCAAAATCAGCAAGGGGAAAGTCTGAGGCAGAGATCGTTCCAGATGGTGGGCAGATGTGATGGGAAAGGGGGTTGCTGGCGAGAAGGATGAACACATCTGAGCACACCATGGAGGAACAGATGAGCATATAGGCAGCATTCACCTCCTCAGGGTGAACCCAGCAGGAGCTCTGACCAAAATGGATGGGGTCCTCAAGTGCCACACTGGGACAGGGCGCTTGGCCGTGGATGGAGAATTCCTAGGAGGGATCACTCTGTGGTGCCTGGCCATGGCTCCTGGCATTCAGCCCCATGCTGGTGGGTGCCCCAGCTCCCTCACTGCCCACACTCCAAGCAGCCACAGGAACAAAACCCTGCAGAGCCTGGTCATGGGCTTGCCCTGAACACCTCATCTGCAGGGATGCTCTTGCAATCAGGGCTGGTGTGGCAAGCAAAGGCACCAAGCAGGAAAAGAGCAGCCAATCCAAATCTTCCCCAACATTTCCCCTTGCACTAAAGGCCAGCAGGGAAGGAGGGAAGAGGAAGGGAGAAGATTGACAGCCTTGATCTGGGCACATTTGTCTCCCCATGGGAGAGAAACACAGAGAAACCTGGGAAGAGGAACTCGTCCCTGCCTGCGGGGCCTGCAGTGCTCTCTGGCACCGAGTTACTCCAGTTCATCCTCAGAAGGGGCTGACTGAGGGATTTTGTTTCTTACCTGTAGTTCCTGGGGTTGCTGTCACAGGTGTATCCCCAGTTGTTTCACTGTTTCCTGCTGATGAACAGAAAAAGAGATGGTCACACAGGTTAGTGGTGTGTGTTGGAAAAGTCTTGGCAAACTCTCTGTGTGCAGGACAACCTCTGAGTAGGGAAGGGGAGAACTTCATAGGGCTGAGCCACCAAACTCCTGGCACCCTTGCCCTGCCTTTGGGCTTTCCCTGGCCATGATGCCTCTGTAGTTTGACATGCCCATAGCCGCTTTTCCCCAGATCCCAGGGCTAGAGCACATGTCCCACAGAGACAGTGCATTGCCCACAGCTCAGCTGCACTCTCTGGCCACAGCTGTCTCACCCACGGGCACATGTGTGTCTCCCTGCAGCAAAGCTCCCTCCACCTCCCCAAACCAGAACCACACGGCCAGGACCGGCTCCCAGAGCAAGTCAAGGGGTGTCATCACACTGTGTACAGCCCACACACCCTGTGCTCCCCCACAATGGGCTTCACCTCCCCTGTGTCTCTAGGGATGCTCTTGCAATCAGGGCTGGTGTGGCAAGCAAAGGCACCAAGCAGGAAAAGAGCAGCCAGTCCAAATTTTCCCCAACACTTTCCCCTTGCACTAAAGGCCAGCAGGGAAGGGGGGAAGAGGAGGGGAGAGGACTGAGAACCTTGATCTGGGCACCTTTGTCTCCTCCGGGAGAGAAACTCTGAGAAACCTGGGAAGAGGGACTTGTCCCTGCCTGTGGGGCCTGCAGCACTTTCTGGCACTGAGTTACTCCAGTTTATCCTCAGAAGGGGCTGACTGAGGGATTTTGCTTCTTACCTGTAGTTGCTGGGGTTGTCATTACAGGTGTGCCGTTATTTTCAGCATCTTGTCCTGATGAACAGAGAAGTAGATGATTGTACTGCTTAGTGGTGTGTGTTGGAAAATTTTTGGCAATTTCTGTGTGTGCAGGACAACCTCTTAATAGGGAAGGCAGGACCTGCATGCGGCTGAGCAGCTGAAGCCCTGGGCAGCCTTGTCTTGCCTTTGAGTTGTCCTCAGACCCAGTGCTGCACTGATTTCTTGTTTTCCCTCATAGTCCTTCTCCCACACCCTGGCTTTTGGCTCCTTCCCACCAGCAGCAGCTGTGTACCCTTCCTGCCTTTCTTCTCTAGTCTATTGGAGCATGCTCTGTCGCTGTCACATGTGTGTGTCTCTGCAGGAAAGCTCCCTCCACCTCCCTAAGGCAGCACCACATGGGCAGTGCTGGCTGCCAGAGCAAGGTCAAGGGCATCCCATTCCTAGTGCATATGCTCCAGCCTGAGAGCTAGCAGAGCTCTGGCCTGACCAGGTGCCAGTTTTGCTGCCTTTTCTTGCTACATCAATTTGCCTTTCTCATCCCTTAAATAAGCAGTAATTTTTGCATCATGCACCTTCAGTAGTTGCACTGTTTTTAATTAGATTTACATGACATTGCACTTCACAGTTAACATGTTCACTGTGACTGCTTGGATTCTGCTCTAGACCTCAGCTGAATTCACAAAAATTACTTTCACTTCAAGAAATACATATATAGATATTTTGCAACTATGGAAGATGCTCTCAGTAGCAGCTTCATTAAAAACTCTGTATGGACTCCTTCAGAGCAGCAGTGGAAGAATGACTTGGCTAACATCTCCTATGCTGTAACATACTCTGCTTTCAATGTCTGCTTGAATTTTTTTATTCAAAGAATGTATATTTTGCTAAGTTATCAACAGTAGTATCAAGATCCTCTTTCCAGGACTACACTTCCATGCAGTTATAACAGTATACATTTGTTTTTTTCACTCTTTTCCTTCCTTGATATAATTGTCTCTGAATAAAGAGAAACCCGGCTGATACCAGACAATGGTTGAAGAAAATTTTCCTCACGTTTTTGTTTTAGCATTACCTATTACTGTGTTTACTCTTCTGAAATATTTTATCTATTTATTTTTAGGATGCTTATTTTATATTTAAACTGTGTCATTCTTAACTCTTGATATAAGGATTATTTTGCGGATCTTTTTGTCTAGAAATAAGGAGAACAAATAATAAAACAGCCTTTCTGATAAATGTGTGATACTGACAAATGGCCAGTTTGGATCATATAATGTAACTTTAATCTGAAGTAGTTAATATATAAGTTAGGAATAAACATATTTACTCTGAGTTAATGCCACTGCAATCATAATCTAATCCAAGTCATTAACAGCATGCAGCTGGAAGACTACTCAATTTGTGGCTAAAATCCTTTGCACTAACATGCTCTTATAGCTAGTATAAAAAAAAAAATGTTGCAAATTGCAACGGATCTTTGAAAAATAGGCTTCACTTTTCATGGGCTTTGAAAATCCAAAGTGAGGCAAATTTTATAAACTTTTTCTTCTGATCAATAAAGCTGATTTAGAAAAGGCACATCAAAAAGGCAACACCTGAAGTAATCCATTAGTCTCCTCTAGGTGAAGGGGAAACATGTTCTCTGCCAAGTCTTCTGTTTCCACTGCCCCCTGAGTTCTACAGGCAGCATTATTTCTTTCCCAGCCAATGTAAAGAAATGTATATTTTTCCTATAATCATGATATATGTATCTATGCTGGCCACATGCCATGGTTTTGCAGCATTGTTTAGACTGCCTTCTCAAAATTGATGGGGCAGTAACCTCTTACAGAGCTAGTCCTTAGTCTACAACAACTGTTAGCCTTGTAGAGGCTCTAACAGTTGTCCAAGAGCACCCTTTGGACTCAAGAAGAATTGTGCCCATGATGACAACAGAGCACATGAGCTGCAATTGAACCTTGCTGACAGGCTTGTTAAAGGTAACCTGGGCAAAGGTGGCAATTTTATGGCACTCTCTGACTAGACCCAACCTTCTGTGTAAGGAAACAGGATGTATTAATAGATTTAGGCATTTTGTACGGAGATAAAGTAATGGACATTATGGCCAAGGTTATGGAGTAACAGAGACATCTGGCTGCTGAGCAGGGCAGGGCCTTTGCCAATACTATTCAAACAGAGCCATCCTGCAAAGCTTTTACAATGTTTGTTTAGAATGAAAAGGTTTCTGGGCAGGCTCATCCTGATGCAATGTCAGTTCAAGTAAGTGAAAGACTCACATTGCTTTCAATTGCTCTTGGGTCAAGATTTTTCACATCTTGCTGTTACTCAGAAGCCTCCAAACAGAAAACCAACCAACAGTCTTGAAGTCTTCTATGCTTATAATTTATAGCTAAAAATTGGTCTGCAGCATGTTGTAGATGTTGCTGGAAATACATATCTTCACTCACAGTAGTCAACAGAGACCCACAACCATCTGTCACCAACTGCAAGTTTAAGAACATCAGCAAAGGTCTTAATTTGGCTCATAATCTCTGTAACTTTATCTCCATATTAGCTGGGAGTTCCTGTCCTCTCACAGCTTCAGGTTTCCACAGAACTCTTCATATAGTTGCCTTTACTTCTGCTAATGCCTTCACTCCCTCCTATCTGTCACTGAATATCAGGGACAGGCAAGTTTGAGCAGAGGTTCTGGCCTACAACTACCAAGCTTGTCACAATGCCAGAAAAAGTAAAAAGTGGCTTAAGGAATGATGCCTGCCCTTCAGGGGGCAGAATAGACAACCCCGCAACCCTCTGCCACCCAAGTTGGTGGTGAAGTTCCCATTAATTAATTTCAACAGGAGGGAACGAATGCTTTGCGAGCCAGCTCAGGTGGTGCTCATTTCTAGACTGACTGTTTAGGACCCTCTGGCTGGAAGGCCAGTGGCAGCAGTTCTTTCCCTGGGTACTGGGGTGGAACAGTCACACCTTTTGTTATGACTGTAATAGAGCTTGAATTACCTGGGTTTAGTGTGCAGGTCCTGAAAACTGCTCTTGCAATAGGCTAAATTAGGTTAATCACAAGCACCAGTGATTTTGCATTTGTTTTGTGGACAAGGAAAACTCTTGGCTTGCAGTGACATTTTTTGTCATTAATTAATCAAAACCTAGACATGCTGAATTGTGTATCACCACTGACCTCCAGCCTCCCAGCAGCCGCTGAAAATACTAAGCAATTCATTCACTACCGCAGAATAGCTGCCCTGATAAATCCCAAAACAGAAGATAGTGTTTCTTACCTTTCGAAAGGCTCAACACCAGGCTGAGCAACACAGTGAGGAATACACAGCGCCTCATTGCCGCTTCTGTGGCTGCTGCTACTTGCTGCTAAACCTAAAAGAAAGTGCTTTTCTCTTCTGGCGTCAGCTCATTTAAGGTCCCAGCCACAGGTAGAGAGTTCAGCCCTGAGGTGACGTCATGGTGGCAAGCAGCAAATGATAGATCCAATCTGTGTTTTTCTTCCTCCTCAGGCTGGGAGGAGATTTCTGGACCTGCAGTGTTCTTCCTTTAAGTCAGAAATGCTTGAGACCTGTTGACACAAGGAACTTACTGCTAAATATCCTGGCGTGGGAACTGACAGAACACCAGCTCTCCCCTGCCAGATCTCCATGCTGATACCTTCAGTACAAATTAAATGGAGGGTGCTGTATAATCTGTTCTTAAAGTGGAAGAAGCTATCCCATCCCAAGGCATGCTAATTATGCCCTTGAAGCAGAGTACCTGGGATCCACATGCTCACTTCCCTTCCAGTAAATTACCAGTATAGACAAGCTCTATGCCTCAGACGCCAATTATTCTTTCCTTATAGATAAAAATTTATGCCAAAGCACTTCCTACTGCTCAACAGAGTAAAAAGCAACAGGCAACACCTCCATCTTCGACAGCAGAGAAACAGGACTGCTCTTGGCCCTCCTGGCAGTGATTATGGCTGTTTTGTTTGCTGCCATATTATGTGTGTTGTGGGCTCAATAAAGTGGTGTGGCAAGAGAAGGAGGAGCAGGCAGGACATCCAGCAGATGTTTGACTTTATCTGGGTGGCAGCCCTCCTTTCTTGAGAAGAAGAGTGTTTGTGCCAGGGAGAGCTTTGGAACCAGGGATGGTCAGCTGGACCAGGGAGCCTGCAGCAGGTCTAGAAATGCAAAATAGCCCAGAAGGCCATGGAGCAGGTAACACAGCTGTGACACAGGGAAAAAAGGTGGGAGACAGAGACTTTTTGATGTTGCATCCCAGGAAGCCTCTGAAAATTGCTAGATAGGGACCAAGATGGGAAAAAAGGTCTCCATGGGCAAGATCCGATTTTCTCAAAATCTCCTATTTTTAGCCTTCTCACCTGCCCAAGTTCTCTAGCTGAACAGTGTGTTTGTTGTACTTTGTGGTCCAGTAAAATGCACTGCTTGAGACCATTAGAAATCAGATGGCCCACAGTGGTTTCCAGTTCCTCCTTTCCAGATGAAGGTGTCATTTCTCTCACTGTGAAGGCCTGGTCTGGATCCTGCCACAACTGCCAATAAAGTCTTTCTGTGAAAAAAACACAGGTTATCCCATCACTAGCAGGCACGGACAAGAAGGATGAGCAACCCACTGGTGTATTCCCTGCAAAGCCACCCCTAATTGCTGTGGAGCTGGCTTCCTCTGGCAAACTCCACTGCCAGCAACACTAGCAGGTTATGAACGTATTTCCAAATGCTAAGTAACAGCTCTGTGTGTTAAACGCTTCTTTCCTTCACCTGCTTTTGTTTGATGTGCTGTTTTAAGAACAAGACATGCAGTCTTGTGTACTAATCTCATATACTCAGAAAGTGGCTCTCCTTGTATGTAAAAAAGTAATACTTCTGGAAAGAAATGAAGTGTTATTCAAGTCATTCCTGAGCTTAGGGTTGTCCTAAGCTTTTATCTTGCACAACACCAGGAAACATTGGTGGCTTACGGACAGCAAAAACAGTTGGGTGCCTCTCTGCCAACACAGGGAATGAGCAGCCTCATCCCTCTGTGCCCTGCCATGTGGACCTGTCTCAGGGCATCGAGCCTGATCCATGGGGTTTTTTGTCTGCATCTTCTTTTCCCCTCGGGCCCCAAAGCCCCTCCAGTGCAGCCTGCTCCCCGCACCTAGCCCGTCCCCCCAGTGTCTGTGTGGTTGCCAGGGTGGTTATGTGGGGTGGCAGAAATCCCAGGCTCTGAGGGGAGGCCAGTATCAGGGTCTCAGCGTGCTCCCCTCCACCAGGGTGTTTGGTGCCAGCCACGGGGGCTGCGCCCAGACTTCCCCAGGGCGGTGGGCCTGCCCAGGGCAGGGGGCAGCACCGAGGGGGACCAGGCCAGGCCAGGGGGTCCCTCAGGACCTGGCACGGGCAAGGGGACCCGGGGGTCCAGGCATTCCATGTTCGCTAACAGGCAGCTGTGGGGCCGAGGGTGGTGGGCGACCAGGAGCGGCCAGGGCCCATCCCACCTTCCAGCAGCCAGGGCACAGGGCTGGCCTGCGAGGGTGGCCAGGGTCAGAGCCAACCCTGCGGTGGCCTGGGGCATGCCTGGGGGCCCCGCAGCCCCCTTCTCCCTCTGGCTGCCCCGCCAGGCCATGCTGGATCCAGCTCCTGCCCCTGCTGTTGCTCACTCCCGTGCCAGTCACCCAGCCCAGCCCCTTTGGTTCCTCCAGACCGCTCCTTAAAACTCTCCTTTGCCAGGGATCTGCCAGAAAAGGGAAAGGCAATGCCTGCAAAGTGTTTGTCACAGAGCACTGTGCATCCGTGCTCGGGCAGCGTCCATCCCCTGCCCCAGACCACCATCACCCTCCCAGCTTTGCCTCTTGCAGGGTAGGGATACCCAAAAACTAAACCTGAAGTCTCGCTTGAGTAAAGCGTTTCAGTCCCAAGCAGACTGTGCTGCAAGCCTCCAGGGAGACCCAACGGCCCTGGACACCAGCCATCTGGGGAGCCACAGCGTGTGTTTCAGATGGAAACTGGTGTGCAGAGATGGACAAACCTGGCTGCAAAGGGTGTTTGGCAGAGCTGTATGCCACAGGTCCTCCGGCCATGTCTATCTCCTATATCTAGACTCTGTCTACGTCCCAATTTTCCAATGCTGCCTCAAGGTGAAACTAGACTAATCCAGGTCTTAAAATCTTGTTGTTGCCTATAAGCAACTCTGTAGGACCAAGAGAACTTCCCAAGGCACTACTGAAAATGGTCAGATCTTCATCAGGTGTAAATGGTGCAGCTTTCCTGGCTACACTGGTATCTACCGGTTAAGTGTACAGTCCTGCACATTAAAACTGGCTCTACAGTGAACGCACATCAGGAGCTGCCATATTACTTATATTTTTAGAGTTCACTTCCATTCTTACCTGATTGTTCCTGTTTATCACGATCACATTTTGGGCAGTGTGAATCAACTGGTGCAAAAGGCACCAGTTCCTCCAGGAAATAACATGCTGAACAGACATACACCTTCATGTACCATATCTTTTCATCTCTGCTTGCTCTTCACTGTTCATTTTGTAACACACTGGTAGTCCAGGCTCTCCCTAGAGAGAAGGGGGATGACAGGCTGTATGTGCCCCATTGCTTGCCAGTTTGTGGGGGAATTAGTAATAGAGATTTGATGGTTTAGAAGAACAGAAACAGAGAATTACCAAAACAGAAGAACTGATGTCAGTGAAACATCAGCAGCTCTAATGCAATTATTAATGAAGTTATTACGTACACATTTAGAATATAGCCAGTTGACTGTTAGTCCAGACAGACTCACACAGTCATAGCAGTTGTGATGTTCTGTAAGGAATTACACAGAAAACTTTATTTGCAGGAATAACTGAGTAACTTTCCAGAAGCTGTACTGGAATAAGAAGTGTGCTATATTTAGTAACAAACACCATAGTCGTTCTCTTGTCTTCATCTTTGTTTATAGCAGGAAAAAGAATTATCAAAGGTAAAAGGCCTTGTTTATCTATTAGAAGGTGCATAGTCCTGTGCAGCCTCATTATTTAACTGTAAGTTGTGTGTAATCAAGGGGCAATCGTGATGCCAGAAGACATACGTTAAATAGGAACAAGTGAGCAAGTATCTTTTATAGCTCTTCATGTGCGTCAGCTGGATACTTTCTTCCTGTGTATTTTTTCAATCCTATTCCTTACTAGATTCCTATAGATTTTGCTATCTCATGCAAATTTCGTTCATCCACTGTCTTACATACACAAGTAGAAATATATGCTGCAATTAGCTAAAAGTTCAAAACAACCTCCAGATAATCTAAATCAAAGTACTATACATACAGATTCACCCATAATCAGGGGAAGCAGATGCACTTTGTCTTCTTTTCAGATAGTTCCCAAGATGGCTGAGGGCACACACTATGGATGCGTTCAATGTTCTTAGAAGCACCAACACACAGATCTGAAGTGGGCAGGACTGTTAAATCATGGCCATAACTGCAAAAGTCTTTTACCTGATCTCACGGCAATGTTGTGACCAGACATTTTGCACTGCCGATTTCCTTAAAAGATACCAACATCACACAGAAAATAGAACAATTTGCAGTAGTATTGGTAACAAATCTGTTAGCCCTTCTCTTGCAAATGAACAGAACCTCATGATTTAATCTGGTTACACTCTCCTGGAGTCTTTCTAGACATGGAGCTGGCACGTAACACAATTTGGTACTATATCACAGTAGAAAGTGGACTAAAGTTTCAGGATGTAGCAAGAAGTATGTTCTAGACTCACCATTCCTTTGTGAGCAGCATTCACTTCATCTAGGGCAGCTGTCTAGTGTGGGGCCTGGTGACACTACTGTCAAGGGTAAGGGATATCGTACAATGGGGTGAGCTACCCTCTGCGGACATTTGTCTCTATTCATGGCTACTGGAGGAGCTAGATGGTGGGTTCAAACTGGCCACCTAACTTTTGGTAGATCAGATTAATCCCACTTTAGTTCCATCCGATTGCTATTGCAGTTGAGTGTTGCACTCCTCTAGAGCAATATAGGAAAGGATTGTCCCAGATGAACATACCTGCCATTACTCTGGATGCTCTTCCACATCATGCCTCTTTCTGACAGCCTGGGCTGGACACGGTGATCATCTGGTCTCAAGGTCTTCCTCTGAGAGACGCTCAGCTGTATATTTTTCACAGTCCCTTGTGGCACTTACTAGGTAGGACTGATCTCACTGTGGTCAGGTCCAGTCACTTGCTCTTACAAACAGCCCTGCTGCACCAACCTCTCCTGAGGTTTTCCTCTTGCCAACACACACTCACACATGCAAACACACAGCCTCACCAATTCTCTTGCAGTTCCAGCAGGATGAAAAATTATATTGAGGAAAAAAAGAAAATTAAACTGAACTGATACAAACATATCAGAACGCAACTTGTATTTCACCTGAGTGGTTCATTCAGCACAACTAACAGAACATACCCATTTCCTCTTTGCTTTTAATTTTATTTAATTGCCAAGCACCACCAGAAGAACAAACGAACTGTAACATATCTTATATTCTAGATTAGATTTCTAATTATACTTAAAACCATCTAAAAGTTGCACATCTATCTCTTCACAAGAAAAGCTAAAGACAATAAAAAAGCTGAGACATAGTAATATTCATAGTTTTATTGTATCCTTTTATAATACTGACTAGAACGCCAGATTTAATAATATTGGATGCAGGTATAAAAATAATCCAATCCTTAAAAATTATATTTTGCTACTACAGTACTGTATAATTAGTGGAGGCTGAAAATATGATACAACTTTAAATAATACTGGTTTGGAAGATGTCCTCAGAACTTCAGTGACTTGGAAGCAAACATTCAGAGCTACAGGGAAGGAAACAGGGCAGTGTCAAGAACATAAAGCAGATTTACATTCAGTTTGATAAAAGAAGCACAAACAAATGCTGAAAATTTACTTATTGAAATAGAGCTCACAAAAGGTGAGCTTTACTACTGCAATTCTGAAAGCTGCTCAAATAAACCATTATGATTTTACACACAAGTCTGACCTTCTGTTAGGAGAAAGTCCTGTAGAATTTAACAGGGCTTTAAACAAATGACCAAGTTTAACAGTATTTCCTTTAAAAAAGGAAACAAGTATTTATTCAGTTGAGTACTTTTTTCTTTAAAGTAAACCCATCCCAGCAGATTTTATTGGAGACCTTCTATGTCAGGTGACTTCTATGGCACTGCTTGACAGAAGTGACCAGTTTTTACTGTATTCCACAGGACTTTTCCATACAGGATTTTGCAGATCTGGGGGTTGCCTGCTGCAGTCATTAACCCAAGCAAGACTCCCATCCCTTTCTAGCATTTTACCAAAATAAACACCAAAGGACTTTGCATTTACATACTACTTTTGAGGAACTTCAGGCACCCTCTCTACGTTTTCCCTCAACAAAGAGATCACGCATATGCAACACAAACTAGACACAGAAGAGGTGTCATCCCACATATGACCTTACAGTACAGAAGCCACACTCACTTTAGATGTTTACTTCTGCAAAACAAGTAAACATATTCCTTTTCTTTCTTCTTTTTTTTTTCCCTGTTATTTCTTGCACCTTGGATTTCTGTCCTGCTTTTCAATTTCAGCAGTTCAATAGAATGAAGAATTAAATACACATTGCAAAGCTCCCAAAAACTTTCAAGCACACAGGACATACCCCTTTCGAAACTGGGACATCTTGCTTCATTTCTAAAGGGACAAGTAAGAGTGAACTGAGGAACAGTTCTTATCTGTGACTGCAGGAAGCACCTCAACATCCCTAGAAGATCTTACATGATAGGAAACAGGTTGGCTGATCAGTAAAACAGCTACACAAAATTCACATTCTTTCTCTTCTCAGGAAGATGTTTCAGATCTTGAACCTGGTTTTGTTCAATCTCACATAATACAGGTCCTGCTTACAGTAACAAGTATACTTTTAAAAAATAAATACCACAGGCAGAGGCAGCAACAGTATCACAGGAATAGGCAGAACACAGAGCCATGGAAAAGCATGTACTACACACAGGTGGCCCTCGTAGTGGAATAATTCAGGCCTAAAAAAAACTTCATTGCAGTCCATGTGAGTATTACCCCGTCACTATAATGGATGCTGGATTAGGTCCTTTGTGTGTAAAGAGGAAAAAACATTAGCCAGCATAGGAAGAGCATTTAAGTAAAATGCATCCGTTCTTGTTAACTTAAGGAAGAAAACTAAAGATTAAACATCACTATGAGGGAATGAGAAGTCCAGCTTGATTTGGAATGGATGTGGCCATTGACCAGTGTTAGAAGCAAGCTCTGGGGAAGCACTTGGTGTGTCTGCAGCAATGTCCAAACCACACTGCTGCTCTCTCAGGTACTGGCAAAAACCCCTTACAAGTATTGGCACAAACAATTTCACGAGAAACACCTTTCTAACTGCAATTTATTGCTATATTTTAAAGCTTTTTATTACCACACATTGTGGAGGCAATTACCTTTCAGAAGGCAGGTCACAAGGGGTGACTCAGTACATGACGGTGACAATAGGTGTTGTGGGAAATGGCCACAAACAGCAATGAGATTCATTGCTGCTGTGTTACCTAATGCTTTAGATGTGGAGGGCAAAGGGCATCAAAATGCCCCTGTCCTGTTTGTTCCTCATATAGCCCAATTGAGTGCTGTGAGGTTTTCCACAGTATGAAAAAGGCCTCTGAATTTTCCAGTGCAGCTGGGAGGGCCGGCCAGGGCGAGCAGTGGTACATGAAGGCTGTGCGTATGAGCCTCCCTTTTGAATGATCCCTCAACGCTGTGTTTTGCTGCTCTGTTCACTGGGGCTGCCTCTCCTAGGATGGCTGCCAGGGGTATTTTTGTTGGTGAGAGGCTTTTGTCAGGGCAACCAGCAGAGCACCATGTCAGCAAAGGTGTGCCTCCCACATCTTTTCCTGTCAAGCAACATAATTAGCATTTTTTCCAAAGTTAATCAAAAATACACCACACATCTGCCTGTGGGCCCTTGCTGACTGCTCCCCTAGCTTTCCACAGCAGCCAGGAGCAAGAGCAGATTTCTGTGTAGTGTTGGTGTAGTTTTTCTTCCTTTCCCCACATCTGCCTTAACCACTTGCATCCTCCTTACAAGAAACATGCTACTTCTATCTTATCCTCTTGGACAGTAGAGATCAATCCCCCTTGTCAAAAACATCCAGTATACTTGAGTACCCCAAATTGCAAATTTGGGTAGCTAAAATTAATCTAAATAGTCTAAGAAATAAGCCGATTTAGACATTTTATGGGGAGTTAGGTGCTGAACAAAGAAGCATCCACATTCAAAAGTGGAGGGCATGTGAAGACACCTCGCACATCCGACAGGAGCAACAAACCCCACTCCACTGCCAGAGGGTGCTTAGTTTATGGCAGAGATGGAAGCAAACAGAGAGGATCCCAATGGCAGCTTTAACAGAGGCAAGCTGTACAGAAACAGATCCCATCCCTGATGTGGCCAGACAAGCCTGTTACTGTTGGGATGTGGTAGTAATTAATTGCAGTAAAATAACTGTCATAAACTGTGGCAAAACACACTGCAGTGAACTCACCGCTTCTGCCCTAGTGGAGCTGGGAGCCGGTGGGGCCTGGGTGAAGATGGAAACTGCAGCACAAGGAGCGGCTGGGCTAGCGGAGACCCAGGGGCTGAATCACCCCAGGCTGCATCCACTGAGCAAAGACTTCCTGGATCACCATGTGGGAAAGCACCTGTACCCACCCTGGTGCTGACACCTGTCTAAATCCTCTCCTGCCTGCTGAGTGGGGCCTCCTGACACCCAGAGAAGGTGCTGCAGGTCAGGAGAGACTCCTTTCCTCCTCCTGTGGACTATGCACTGGCTCTGTGACTCTTTTCTTACCAAAGCTAAAAAGGAAGGTCAGGCTGCAAAGGATACATTCTCCTAAGAAATTTCCCAATGTGTACCTGTTCTGGCAGCAACAAAATTTCTGTGCAATAAAGTTCTGTCTTTTGGAAAAGGCCAAGTTTTGCAGCCCCCACTCAGAAAATCCTTCTGGATTTACTGAGATCCTTTCACTCCATATACAGCATTAAGAATTTGAAGATCATTGAGAAATGAAAATTAATTACTTGCGAACTTCTGTGTAATCTCAATTAGGAACAGTCCTATCTCATTTCCACTCAAATCTATTGAAAGTTGCTGTGAGATACAGACCAGGAATTTTGTTCACATAGTCCATGTTACTCTTTATATAGAACGATTTAATCTGCAATTGTGAGTTGATATTTCCTACTTCATATTTGGCACACGGAGGAACATTTCTGTCTTTGGACTAACCAAACAATTAAACATATTTGCCTATAAGCATGTGTCTAAACTCTTCTCTATTTGACAAAATGCTGGTTAAATGCTACCACCATGGCTAGGACACTCTTCATTTTTGCTAAGCTGATTTAGTAAATAGGGGCAGAGCCCAGTGCTCTTCTATACGCTTTGGATTTAGATTTAGCATGAAGCCCAGCTTCCCCCTTCCTTTTGTAACACAGACAAAAACCTCCTCCACACCATGGGAAAAGTAGTCCTTTCTGTCCTAGGCACTCTCAAAACCAGAGGCAACTCACCCGCACAGAAACAACCCTGCCAATATTCTCTTTGAAGGACCCCACAGCACAGCAGGGTCAAGCCCTTAGTTCACATCATCCAGCAGATCCTGTGTAATTAAGATACTGGCTGCTAATGAAAGAGAGAAGATAATTCATGGACTGGAACACTGATCAGCATGGCAAGGAACAGCTAGTTCTCATGCTTTACCTGTTACGCTATTTTGGATACTGTAACTAGAGTTTTCCTTAAATACAGCTCTTTAGGCAGCTGTACTTCCCATGAACATCCATTTGTCTCCCTCCTACAGTTGAGATAGGCTGTGTACTATCACCTGTGAGGCTGATTATGGATCAGACAGGCATGAAGTTCCATGCATTGTCACCGTAAGATCATGTAAGTGCAAAGGATACTGCCGTAGACATCCATAATGATCTATTTTTCTGCAAGTCCACACTGTTGTATCTACATAGTAGATAACAGGTGAGGCATAAAAAGACACTGCATTTGTGTGCTATGGTTGGTGCACCAAACTATGTCTTCTCCAGCACATTTGTGGTGCATTTCCTGACTCGCAGTTTTGAGAAAATAGAAGTAAATGTGAGCAGGGATCAGAAACCTCTTAGCTCACGCAGCTGACGATTGCCTAGTGCTAGCTCCCCTTCCTCTGGGTAGCTGTTTCTCACTTCTGATAGGGAACACAACAGTGTTAAAAGAGCTGGGAAAGGATCTGGGGACTCACAGCATCTGTAGGATGCAAGTACTACTACCTGCTCCCTGATAGAGGGCTCCACATCCCCCCAGGTTTGCCTCCAGGGACCGATCGCACAACATGTCAGCCTCTGAACTGCTGTTCTCACTTGGGGTTAGGCACTTTGAGGGACACATCCCACTGTCCTTAGCGCATCAGTGAGCTGAGCTACCTTATGAACTTAATTGTAGGCACCGTGTCTTTTCAAGCATGGCAGGGGAGAAGGGAATATCAGAGGGTATGTGCCCTTCAGCGAAACTAGCTTATGCATGCACTACAGAGATGGTGGGTTAATGGCCAAGGAATTGTCCTATTTGTTATCCTCATACAAGCAGCCACCTTGAATTAAAAGTGCAGTCACATTTAGGGGAAGGACCTGTATGAATCTTGTATCTAGACAAGGTTTAGATGACTCAGGTTAACTTTCAATCTAATCTTTGATGAGAAACATAGTAACTTAACATTCTTCAGCTTTGCCAAGATAGAGTATGAATTAACACACCTAGGTGAGGAAACCTGCCTGGTCTGAATCACTCGAAACTAGGATGGAAGAAAGCAAAACACTTCAACGTAAGTGATCTTTGCTCCACAAGTATTGAAAGCATCATGTTTTTCTCTGCCTTAAATGCACCTGACTGCAATAAGCCTTATTTTCCAGTGTAGTGAAAGGCTCCACAGCTCCTACAGAAGTTAAGGCTTCAAAACTATGTCCCACCTGCAGTGCCCAGAACTCAGCTTCCACCTGCCCATCCAGGGCTATATCGTTATTGCTCTTTCCCAAATTTTTCATAAGGAACATGCTGAATTCCAAGCTCATCTTTTTCTTCCCTGTGACAACTATTTAACACTATATTGATGTTTCTACAGGCATTTAAATCCCTGGGGTTCCCACAAGATCCCATACGGAAGCATTGTGATGACGTATAGTGGCATCACTTCTGAACAATGTTGGTTGACAAACAGCGACATACTCAGACTCTTCCCTATATACAGGGAATTTTCAAAGCAGCACATAGGATCAACTATGTTCTTTCAGTTAAAATTGCAGTGGTATGACTAACTTTCCCAAACTCCTTGGAGACTATTAACCCATAAATTCAGCCAGTATCACCAGGTACCAGGTACCAGCAAGGATCCAGCCATTTGGAGAACTTCTACCAGTAAGAAGGTGAAGGCCAGAGGACAAGCCAGCTTCCCTGTTGTGTATGAAGCAGAAAGCAATGCTGCAATGTAAAAGGGGGCAGACAAACATGCCCTACCAATAACAGTTGCACAGTGAATCTTTGCATGAAGGATGGCTAAGAAGACAAGCACAGTCAACAGTGAACAAGATCTGTAAACAAAACACTCCCTAGTGGTATTCAATGCAGAGTGCTAGGCACAGTTCATCTGCTTGCACTGATCCATGCTTGCCATGTAGCGTAAAGAGTGAAGCAGCAGCACAGAACAAGTCCGGAGTATATATGTTAACTTCCATCTGGTTCTTTTAGTGATGTGCACCTTGAGCCACTCCCTCCTCCTCCTCCTTCTCTCTGCTGTTCAGTAAGTGTAACTGTTCCTCGGGGCAGCAACGCTTGGCATGAAGTTCAAAGTCCTTCCTGTTAAATGGGAAGAGTAAGACTGATGTGGGCTGAACTGCCCAGGAGATAGATTGTACCTGGGGATCAAGGGCCACAAAACTGTGTCAATCTTCCACACCCTCTCCACTCCCTGCTAAAAATAGTCTCTTCTTCTGGTTTCGTCACTAATGAAGGATGGATTGTATTGTCCAGGGTAGATGCATGAATGTCGAGATCCAGGCAAACCAGTGTAGGGAGGATAAAGTCCATTTCTTTCCAGTTCAGGATTTCTCAGTCCAGTTGGCTGTATTAGCAAAAAGATTAAATAAAAAGGGTCTTATTCTCACACTCAAATCCTCCTTCAGGCACAGCCTTACCGCCTTTCCCAGCAGTTATTTCAGTAGCTAGAAGAGACAACATGATTGCTAATGATCTCTATAACATAGAACGATTTTTACTGTGGGAGTTATGCATTACCTGAAGGAACTATTCTGATGCAATCTAGTTTCAACATCTTTCTAATTAGCAGATTTGAAGTTTACCTGGCTCCACCAAGTACAGTTTAACTGTGCAGTTAATTTTTAATCCACGAGAATTGTGCTGATGAGCTCAGGTATTGAAACAACTCTCACGAAAAGGATATTGTCCCAGAGCCATTCTTAAAGGAAATACTTACAGAAAATCAAAAGCAGTCTCCTACTTCGATTATTACCTGAGAGCACTTTTCTCCCCACTACCATTGGTACCTATTCTCCCAATGCAGGCACTTGAATTATATGTCAAATACAAAGTAATCTGACCTTCCTTCCTCTTCCCTTCTCTTACTTAAGTAAATCTTCTGGAGACACTTGGTTGAGGAACTTTGATGTCTAAGACCAAGACTGTACAATCCTTTCACCCAGTAAATAACATCAAGCCACCTGGTTTGATCTGTTACAGAGCTGATCCATGCAAATCCCTCATCATCAACTGCTTGCTAAAAAGCTCCCCTTTCTATTTGCCAGCATAATAAAAGCCTTAAAAAATGTTTAGGAAATACATTTTCATTTCTAAATCTCTCATTCTTACTGGAAGTAGGAAGGATTATTTCCTTTCATGCTGTGCAACCCAGTAAACTTGCTTACTGAAAAACTTAAAATACAAGCCAGAAAAAAAGGTATTGCTGCTGCTCTCTTCTCTGGAAAGCAGGAGTCCAGAATGTGTGATTTGGGTGAAATCCTACAACCTTCACTCATGTGAGTAACCCCCACACACACCTTAAGTACATCCAGCATGTTGCTGTAGATTAGTGATTGATGAGACATCAGCATCACAGCAGCTCTGGATACAGACATTAGCAGACGGTACCAACCATGACAGCAGATCTTGTGTTTGTGTCTTTCTGTGCCCTACAGAATCTATTACCCCTCCACTACTTCTTCTCTGTCATTTGTTCCCTCAGAGCTGAATGGATGTTCCTTATGCATCCTTCCTGGTGCAGGAAGGGGCCTGTACTCTGGAGAGGGGAGGAGTGGAGGAAACGAGGGGTCCTCAGTGACCAGCATCTTCCTATCTTGGGGTGAAGTACCCTGGGCAAAGGTCTCAACCTCCCAGCATCATCAGTGAGGGTGGGAGAAAACTACCCAAGGGATCCCTAGCAGTCTGTCCAAAACCTTTAACTGTCCTTCTCTACTCTAGGATTGGGCTTTTGTGCCATCTACCAAAATGTTCCTGGACACTTCCCTAGCATTATTCCTAATGACATCTCTTTGTGATATTCACCACATGTAATAGCTAGAGTCCATAGGACTCTCAATGCCTTCCTGTCTATGGAAGTAACTTGCTTTTCTCTTTTATTTTTCAGGAAAGTGAGCTGTACTTCCAAAAATAAAGGAATATGCCTTTCCTGTATCAGGTACAAAGGATTAATGGTTAAGATATGGATAGATACCGAATAATACACATCTGTCATCTGCAACAGGTTCTTGGTGCTTCCATTCTCCTGCATCTCGATGGTCTCTCTGCCCCACTCCTGTGCCCGGGGGTTCTTTGGATATTCAGCATACGGTGACATCTGGAAATCCCCACTCTTGAAAATGAGTTTACTTATGTCATTTTTATTCTTCCTGTTTATAAAAGAATGAAGGAAAGTGAAAACATACAACTTACCCTGCTATCTTGTATGCACTTCTGACATGATTTCAGGAGATTTACTTCATGCTATGAACCTTGATTGGGAACAAAGATCAGCCTTCAGAAGGGCAATAGTCCAATCTTCTGCTCCAAGGCAAAACCAGACATGAGGTCAGATCATGCCACTCAGGGCATTATCTTGTGATTTGAAATCTCCAAGGATGGAGATGGCATAACCTCTCTGAGCAACCTGTTCCAATGCCTTACTGTCCTCTTCCCTATATTGTTTGAACCTCTCCTGTTCCAATTTATACCTGCTGTCTCTTGAGAATGTGTGTGTTCACCTGAGTCAATGAAAAAGGCATGGAAATCTAGGAAGAAAGAAAAATGGGGACTGTTGTGGTTTAACCTGGCAGGCAGCTAAACACCACACAGCCTGATCCCAGGAATCCCTGTGCTATTCAAGTCTCTAAGTGCTTAACTATAACACTTCTAGGCATTATATTATTCCTAAGAAGGAAGACCTGCAAGGGGCCAGTCTGAATGACACCAAATGCCCCTACATGACTACCATGTTGTTTGAGTGGACTTTGGTGATGCTTCCAGTTCAAAGCAGAATATCCTCCAGGAAGTCAAATAACCTGCCAAAGGCCAGGACTGTGAGACTAGTCCATCCCTGCAGAGATCTGCACTCTGGAGCCTGGTAGTGTACTGGCCATCATACCTCCTGGTTGGGGCTTGCTGGCATCCCTTGGGCTCAAAACATGGGAACAAGCACACACCACTGTGCCAACCAAATCACTGCTATTTCTATGTTCCTGATAAATCCAGCTACTGCCTTTAATCAGAGAGGTCTGAAATATTAGATTTGGGGGCTGGAATGGTGGAGAGAGTTACTGCAAGGCAGACCTTTTTATGATACATAAATTATGAAGCAGAACTTCCCCAGCAAGCACATCTTGCCTCTAGTCTGAAGCTACCTGCTGGTACAGGAGCTATATGTGCACATGTGTGTGTGCGTCTGAGAGGGAGAGATACACAAAGTGAGAGCACATGCAGGACTTGCCCATAAAGGAAAATTAAAATAGCCTTAAATACACTCAAACACCACTTGAGCAATTGACAGTAACCCCTCTTGTTGTGTAAACTTCTCCTTTCTACTTAGCTTGCATTTTTGGAGATGGCTTCCTGGCTGCCTTACAGCTCTGTATGGGAAGGACTCCTTTGCTTTGCATCCTTAGCAGACATGATTGCCAGGCACATCCTTAAGAGACACACAGTTCAAATTTTTAGCCTGGTTTCTGGGAAAAAAAGAAGATATTCCCTAAATGAAAGCACAATGTAATGCTTCAGTATCTCTGATTAACCCACTTGCTTAGCTATTCTCTGTTTTCATCTATGTTTTGGTCCTTCAGGGTTCAAGTGTGGAGCACTAAGTGTGGTGTAACCCTCTGAGAGGACGCAATGTGAGCCGGGGCTGGTGGCATTACCTACCGGCAGCAGGTGACAATCAGTGCTATGCCCATGATAAGGAGAAGTCCCCCTCCTGCAGCTGCGATCACCACAGTGATGAGCTGATATGCTACAGATGGGAAAGACAGAAACTCAGTAACAGCAATACGGTTGTAAATACTATTGTAAACATATCCACAGTCCTCATGCAAAGGGATTAACTGTTTATTTCCCATCGTACCTCCCTCTGCAAGCAATGCTGCCTTAAATTTTCCAGTGAAATGAATGGAGTTGGTGATCTGCTTAAGGAAGAACAAACTCTTCTTTCCCTAGGGGATGGATTCCCTTCACTGATAGATCAGAATAATTCAAACAGTATTTTATGGATTCAACTCCAAACATCTTGCTTCAAGAGAGCCCACTATATGTGCTATCATGACAGAAGATCCAGAGAAAGGTCACTCATCCTTAGTAGATAATATTAAATCATCTTTGCCAAAGGTCAACGAAATAATTTTCAGCAGAAATGAAGAAATAAATATCATTGACAAGAGTAGCGTGTACCTACTGCACTTTAGACATAGTCATTTGCAACTACTTGTTTCAAATTTCCCATTTCTGATGCCGTGGAAACTAAAAGAAACAAAGATCAGTACTTACGGTTTCCACAGTTGAATCCACCTAAGCCAAATGGGCAGCTGGTAACAGAAAACAAACGGGAATTTCAGTGGCTTAGTTGTGCCAACAGGTCACCACCACAGCAGTATTAAGAAGGATGGTGGGGTAGGAGAAGGGCAGAACAGTCACCATACCTCACACAGGTCTCGTTTTCCAGCTTATATCCATCTTCACAGGCTGAAAATACAGAAGAGAGAAGGGCCATGAGCACCGCATAGTGGTGCAGAGGAGGCATTTTCTACCGCCGCTTCCCACGGCAGCTTCCCCCCAAACAACCTTGGGGACCAACAACCCGGTCTGAGACACTGGCAGAGCAGGAACGCGATGCACTCTGATGTGATGCAGTATCTCCTCTGGTTTAGGCAAAACATCATGCATTTAAATTCAGCTCCCGCTAGCTTTGACAGGACCATTTCAGGGCTTCCCGGCAGAGCTAGCCCAGAGCCTGGCACAGGGTGGGCAGCTGGTAACCTAATTCCTAGCAGAACCTCTTCTTGCCCAAATGGAAACTCACTGCACACTTGTACTGCTTCCCACAAAATAGCAGTGTAAAAAATCTGCAAGTGCCCCCAGTTTTTGCTTTGGAACCTTATTTGAACAGTGCTACTTAAGCACTGATGCACGCTATTACTTCTAAATGTTAGTATTGCAACAAAATGTTATGGGAACACAGTCAGGGTAACCCAAAGTGGTATGTTATGTTTTGCCTCATGTCACCTTGTTTTCTTGTCTTTCAAATTTGGAGCTAAATCAAATTTTGAAGTACCATATTTTACTATAGAATAGAAATTAGATTTACTAGGTCTAAATAACCCAAAACACTGCTGTGTAAAAAAATGTTGGTGACAAACTGAAACCATTGCTTCTAAATAAAATAATTTCTTTGCTTATGGACAGCTAGCTTATCACATGAGCTATCTGAAAAAATTATACCACACTTCTGATGAGCAGCAAAGGTGATGATACATTAGAAATACAGTTATAAGATCCTTGCTTTACTCAGCAATACTCCCACCAGAGCTCCTGCAGATCTGCTGCCTTCTGCAGGTGCTCACTCAGACCTGAGTAGGAGTGACAGGGATGGAGGCACTTTGGACAAAGGGACAATCCAGGGCCAGCACACACAGCAGCCCTTGGGGGTCTGTGAAACATCACCCAGGAGTCTGGAAAATCCCTGCAGCACAATCCACAGGGAATAAAACTAGATTGTTAAGAGAAAACAAAAATACTTATGGATTTTTTTTCCCCTCAAACACCATATGCTTAAAAATGGGGAGGCAGCAGCTCTCAAGCCCTCTTCCCTCTGCCTTGATCTCTAACCATAGCGAAAACCTGCAGCCAAAAGCTCAGGCACTCTCTAACACCAGAAAGCACAAGGATATCTGTGGGGAGAGGATGGGCTGCCCAGCAGTGATCCCAGCAAAGCTGCAGCAAAGCCCTCTCCTCCTCTGCTGCTCCCAGCACATCAGATGCCTTTTCCCCTCTGGCACAGCCAGCAACTATTTTCAGAAACACTCCGAACAGGAGGGGAGGAAGGAAGAAAATGTGTAACGTTGTCCATTAGGAAGGGCTGGCAATATCATAGTAAACCAAGAGAGAGCAGTAGTATTCTGGCTGGATTCAGAAGTTTATGGCTCTTCCAGCACCAATAGCAAGTCATACTGATGCCAGCAGGGAGCAATGTGACTGTGGCCTTCTCCTCATAATACAGGTCACAGAACTTCCCTAAATTTAATTCCACTTTCAAATCAAATAGTTGAACTGGAGCTACATTTTAGAGAACCATCCAAGACTGATTTTAATATTTTCAGTGACAGACAATCAACCACAAGCCTGGGTCAGATGCTCATAAAGTTAATTTCCCCTGCCATTAAAAACATTCACCTTCTTTCTGGTCTGAATTATCCCAGTGTCAAATTCCAGCCTTTGGATGTTTACTTGCTAGATTGGAAAAGGTTATATGATCACATTTTCCTCCTTACCATCACATTGCTCCTTTGCCTTTAATAAAGCCAAGTGCACTGAGGTCTTTGAGTCTCCCTGGTTATTGCAGCTTTTCTCTGAACACTCACATTTTCTTTGACCCTTTTGATTTCTCGCTCCCAGAAATGGATGTTGAAAGCCCAGGGATAACAAAACTTCCCCTCTTCTGCCTGTCTGTGCCCCCTAAATGCACCCAGAGACCATATTAGCCTTACAAGCTAGAGCTGGGGACCTTTTCTTTACCCACCAGACCCCCTTTGCAGCTCTGCCCAAGTCTTTGCTTTCCAGGACACACAACCCACAGTGTGCCTGGCACTCCGCTCTTGGATTCTCTGTCTTGCTTCTGGGCAGATTGACATAATGTTTGCAGCCTATACACCACTTACAAAGCATCCTACATTACTCAGCATGCCATTTTCCCTGCGGGGTGTGTGGACACAGATGAGTGATGCACTCACATCATGAATATTGCAGCTCTAGGCAGAGACCTGTAGCAACTGGCACCAATGATAACAGGGGGACTGATGTCAATGATAATTAGTCTTGAACCCCTTTCTCTACTCCATATAGCCCCACTACTCCCCTACCGCTTTCACTCCATTTACCCCAAGAGCTGGTGATAGGGAGGGTGAGGCTCTTTATGTAGCCCTCCTGTTGCATCTCATCATGCAAAAAAATGATTTTTGCACTGAATTTATTTTTCTCTCTGCAAGATGGTTTCTTTGAGGTCAAGGAAGAGATCGGAGTTTAACTGGACAAGAGAAGAGGCTCACTCAACAAACAGCCAGGGCAGGGGTAGTAAATCCCAAAGGATACTTGCCTGGCTCATTCAAAACACCAAGGCATTGGCAAAATGAGGCTGGATGGGTAGCTCCTTACACTCACTAACAGAAGCAGGCCAAAAACATTATGGAGCAAATGTTCTACAAAAGTGAGCCACAAGATCAGGCAATATCTGCAGTGAAGGGGAGGGAGGCATCACGCTGACAGCTCACTAGAGCTGCCTTCTCTAATGAGTGCAGCAGCTCTGTGTACCCCAGCCCCAGTCCCCACCTGACACCTGCATGTTGGGAAGGCCTGGAGGTGCCTGAAGGCAGATGCTGGAGCCCAGCCTAATCTCACCCCCTCAGCCCTAGTCCAAGAATGTGTGTAGGGCACATACACCTTGAGTGGTCTCAAAGCTGGAGCCATGCCTTGGGCAGGAGCAGCCCTGGGATCCCACTGGCACACAGCTCTCAGGCCAGGAGGCTACATGGGGCAGTAAAGAGGAAAAGCAAGATCCTGAACATGCATTTCTGCCTTACCTAAACAGTCAGTGCTTATGTCTTTTCCTCTCCTCATCCTGCCTTTTCCTGCCACTTTGCTTTCTCCTCTGGCATCTTTCCTGCTCCTTTGAACACACTCCCAGGAGAGCTCGTGCTGTCACACTCACTTGGCAAGCTTTCAAATATGAGCAGGGAACAGAGGAAAGGCTTAAGTGTCGGGGGCCAACCAAAGCTATTGAGTTGTGCTTTTTCTACTTGAGATACGTTTGCCTTTGACTTCCCAAAAGAGACTCAGGGGTCTCTTTGGAAACCTGCTTTGCTGCTCCTTGCTTCACTCCAGAAACACTCTGTACTATTAAAAATAGCATGCCCTTGAAAAGCTGACACATTGGGTTTGTCGCCCTGTTTCTAAAACAGCCCTGAAAATACCAGGACGGTTGAAAAACCAGCAACGAACCAGAGACGACTGAAGTGCATGCCTAAAGGTACATGGCCAACATGTCAAAACTGTGGTTCAGAGACTCAATCCTTCCTTGGTCCAGGGGAAGATTTTTTGAGCAGCCGATCCCCCATGCCCCAGCAGCTCTCCCAGCCGCACCCACCTTCCCACGGGGCAGACTGGACTGGGCAGCACAATAGCCATTTCCCTCTTTGCAAATACTACAATTGGAGTTACCATGCCACATTTTCACAATCCACAATGAGGGTCAGATGCTCAGGAGACCTTGGTTCCTGTTTAGTCACTAAGAGGACAGAGATTTTCAAAGAGGCTGGCATATTGTACTCTGCATTTATCAGAAAATAGCCCTAAATATCAAATGAGGGCCATAGCTTGGCTTTTGAAAAAAACCTTTAAAAATCCCAATCATCTGGCTTTATGTAGATGGGAACAAAGTGATGTGATATCTTGCTAGAGCATGGCACCATGCTGTTGGTGCTACCCTCACGCCACTGCACTGCAGCCTAAATTCTGCATCAGTCCTGTCCCTCACACACTCTCAAGGTGATCACTAAGATGGTTCCTGCCAAGAGCAATGAGCTGAAAGTGGCACTGAGGCCTGCCTGTGTGCAGGTAGGGTTTTTTATATTTTGCACAGCAAACAAGACCTGTAAGTAGGGAGTAACCACATGTACAAGATGTTAGATCTCTTAAGCCTTCTGCAGTCATCACATCCAAGTGTCTCACAGCCTTTCAGGTATTTATCTTCACAACACTTCTTGGCAAGAGACATGGACAAGAAAAAAGGAGTAACTCACCCTGGGTTCCCACCATTGATGATGGAGCAAGAATTGGGCAAAAGCCTCACAAGTTTCAGATCAGGTCTCCACTGACTACATAAGCCCTTCTCTGCCCCTCAAGGATTGGTGGATATGGTCAGTATTTCCTAATAGAAATCCTTCCACCAACACACAAGATGAAGGGAGGGAAGGAAAACACAAAGGAGAAAGGTTTTGCCTGGAGCCACAGAGAGGAGGAAAGGCAGGACCATGACCTGGGACCCAGAGATGCCCATCTTCGAGATGTCCATCCCAGACCCTGCAGCACATGAGTTATTTTCAGGCACTTTTTTCTCACTCTATGATCAGATTTGGAATCAACAAAGCATCTCATCATATTTCAACAGCAACCCAGCAGACATTGCCAGAAGCAATATATAAGCACTACTGCAATTCTTATTGATACGTCATCAGAAAATTGTGTTTCTTAAGAAGCCCTACAACAACCACTGGAAGTAGGGAATAGACACCCTGATCCTACAGAAGTAATTTTGACCACTGGCACACGGACAAAGACCTTGTTTAAAATTTAGCAAAACCAGATTTCATGATCTGAGGAGTAGCTAAAAAATAATATAATCCTTAAGCTTAAAACTTCTACTAGGAACCCAGCTGAAAAATAAATTCATAATCATTTTCAGATACTTATTTTTAAAATATTGATGATGTATTAATAAAAGCTTGTGAGTTTAAAGCACTTCTCCTAAGTTCGCTGAGAGTTCAGACAAAATCAAAACAGGCAGAGACGCACGTCATCTCTGCTCTGTGCCACTGAACTGGAGCCCAAAACAGCCGGGCCCCTTTCTCCCTGTTCTCAATCACTGTGACTCACAGCGTGCTCCAGAAAGAGATAATATTATTCCTAGAGACTGTATCTTCAGCGTCTGCTGAAAAGTCCCCTAACTACATAAAAGAAACTTGAGCTACTAATATTTATTCATAATACTGAGTTTCTTGGATGCACAGCGATACACACACACTCATTTCCACTGGAACAAAAAGTTTAAGCAAAATTCAGGCAAAATACACCTTATAAATACCTCGGCAGGAGTGGTCCATCTTGTTGTATTTGAAGTACCCACTTTTGCACTGGCAGAGGGCAACTCCATCGAAGTCTGTGCATTCAGAAGTTTCTTTGTCACATTCAGGGTCTTTCTGCTTGCACAAGCTGCCAACTGTCAGGAAGAAGCAGCCAACATCAGCACAGTTCACTCTCAACCCACATTAGGCACATTTGCTTTCCCCAGGCATCACATTCAGCTCATGTGCAGCTTTAATCTCTTTTCTTTTTTTTTTAAATAATATTTGTTCCATTAGGAGACAGTCAACATTACACTATGTCACCATTTCTTGTATATCTACCATCGTTTGTACAGGCAAATAGAGGGGGTGAATAATAAATGCATCAGCTCAGAGGCAGAAGAGGAAAGGAAAAAGAAAAATTTGGTTTGGCTCAAGCTGAAACACATTCACCCCCTGAGACAGTTCAACAAATCAATTTTTAAGTTTATATCAAGCAAAACATTTTGCTCAGCCCAAACCAATTCTTTTTCATTTCAATATTAAGCACTGGATTTTTTCATTTTTCAAACAAAGAACTTATCCTTTCATTTACATTACTTTGAAGCAGTGCTTTACTTCATAAAGTCAGATTTGTTACAATGAGAATTCAGCAAAACTGTGGGTAAATGATGGAAATTGTGTCACCAAATCTGTATTTTTCACTGGGAGGTCAGACTAAATGAAATGAACAAGCAAAAAATTATTCATGAGAAATAGGATTTTATGGAAAACATGTCACTCATTTGGCACTCACCTTTTATAAGCCTCTCCCTGATAGATCCATCTTCTTTTCCTTTTTTATTTGACATCTTTTAAGTACTTACACAAGAACATGATTTGTTTCTTACTCTGCTTCAAGTTAGAAGTAGTCTTTACCAGAAGCACTGTAGCAGAGGTAATGGCTAGATATAATCTGAACGGGTCTACCAAAATAGTTGAATTCAATCCATGGTGGAATGTGGCTTTAAAATACAGCATATTAAAATAAAAGCACATACTAAATTCCTCAGGTTTGTGCTTACTTTGCCAAAATGATATGAGGGGTTTCCCACTACACCCAGGCTAAGTGCTGCTGCCCTTCATCCTCAAAGCCAAACACTGAAGTCTCCAACCCTGAAGTCACAGAGCTCTGTGTGCAGAAGTTTTCATGCAGGAGCTCATCTTTCACAGGTGCTCACTCCCTGCATTTTGCTGGTACCTCTCACAGCTAAATCTCCTCTATCACTCCCTCGGAAAGTGAGGACCAGGAGGTGCAGGGCACAGGGTCACCGCCGCCGATGGGGTCCACCTGGAGAAGGTCCTGCACAACACCCATGTGCTTCTCCAGGTCTCTCTGTGCCACACCCACGTTCCCCTTAGGCAGGTGGAAGATTTGGTACAGAAAGCGAAAGCTTTTCCTTGCGAACCATTTTTACACCCTGCAACACTGAAATTGGGCAGGCAGGAGAGCAAAGCTCCAGCACTCTGATCAGCTGGTGGGGTTTTGTCTCTTGGCTTTTAGGCCGTTTCCCTGGCTCCTGGCTGCGTGAGTGGCATTAAGACTTATGGGGTTTTGATCTGGCCGGGGCCTAGTGTCACATCCCAGAGATGAAAGGCTGTCCTACAATGCCTCTAATCCTGTGCTGCATGATGTTTTCACAGAGAGGCAGATTTCTCACACATGTGGCAAAGATAAGGCTCGGTATCTGCATCGCTTTTGTACGGCAAGGCTCTTAAGATGACTCCGATTTAAATAAGATAAAAAAGATTCAGAGGGGTTTTTCCAAATGCTAAAATCTTTCTCCCCCTATTATAAAAGAAGCCAAATAAAACATCCCTTTCCCCTCCCATCGCAGTCCCTCCAGATGCTGTTTACCTCTGTGGAGCGGTTTCAGGCTGGAGATGAACTGGCAGGCTTCGGTGGGGGATTTGCAAGCTCGAATGTAGCTTTTCACACTGCTGACAACGTCATAGAAAGTCACGTTGGATGCTAAAGAGAACGTGGATTGCACTGAAACATGCACAAAATTTGCCTCCCTAACAGAAAACAAAACAAAACAGCCCTGAGTACCACTGTTCAGTCTGATATGATCATTAGTACCTTATACACGGAACTCTTACTAGCACATGTACACAGCGATGCTTATCACAGACACAATATTGTATACGTACTGAAACAGCAGTGCATTGTAACAAACCTTAAAAAACAGGACAAACCTACACACAAAGAGGTAAATATGGGGCTGGAAGGGGTGCTGGTAGCTCACTTGGAAACCAGCCATAAATCCCTCCTGGACAGCTCACAAACCTGTCCCCAGACTGCTCAGGCTAGGAGGAGGGTACTGGGAGCACTGGACAAGCTGGTCAGGCATTCCCCATGCCCTGCGCTACTACTGGGCCAGACTGCATCAAGCCCAGTACCAACTCAAAATGGAGAACGTGGATCTCAAGCTGAACATCAAGAGTTTCTCATTCTTCCCCTGGTAGCCATAGCCTTACCTAGTTGCCTTGACTGTGGAGTGGTGGTACCCCGGCAACCCTGACAGCGAGGCATTGAGCTGTAAAGAAGGAGAGAGCAGCCATTAGTGCCCTGAGGGATGACAGAGGGAGGCAGGCCGGCAGGACCAAGCACTGGACACCCCTCCTGAGTCACCAACCCCTGCATTTGCCAGAGCTGCCTGCTGAGGCCCAGGAGGCTCTAAGCATCCCAGTACTTCATCTGCTTGATAAGAAAGATGTGCTCTCCTGTCATCAGCAAGGGATGGCCAAAGTCACCATTGCACAGCCTTGGATAAGAATGAAGACCTGGGGATTTTGACTTGAGCATCTGCCTGGGGCCCTACAGTGAAATGACCACAAAGGCTGAAGACGAGCCAGAAGCCAGTGGGGAGAGAGCCCTACGCAAGGCTGAACACAAAGCGGCACCCTCAGAGACTGCACATCTTTCAGGGAGGCCCCCTCTACCTGGATCCACGAGCTTGTTTGTGTTCACTCCCCAGTACAAGACATGCAGGCAGCATCAAGTCAACTCACCCCAGCCCCCCCTCCTTTGGGGGCATCTCCAAATCACCTACTCCAAAAAGAGCTGGAATGCACCTGCAGCCAGCCCAGGAACTGCTAACAGGATGAACTCGTGTATGCAATGATCTGGCTAAAAAGTGCACAGAGATGTACCTATCCCCAGCCCAGGGGTCTTTTTGGAGCAACTGATGGCACAGCATATGGGGAAGCCACCAGCTCACCCAGTGCTTGCTCTCAACTGACCGAGGACCACATGGTTGCGACAGCACGGCTGGGACACTCCATGAAGAGGAAGGTATGTTTGGGTGGGTGTTGTTGCTGTGCTTCATCCCACAGGGTCTGGCTAAGAGCAAGGTGGCACCAGCTGCAGTCCAACCCTCCCCAGAACCTGCGAGATTTACTGCTGAACGATGAAATCCAGAGTTACTGTTTTAATGTTTGACCTTGGAGGAGCGCTAATGCCCTTTCAAGGTCTGGAAAAGGCAGTGCAGCCAGAAGACACTAGGAAAGGATGAAAGCTACAGAAGCTTGAACCTAGACACATCATTTCATGAAAAGGGCCTCAGGATTTTCGGGGCAGCTATGCTCTCTTAAGCCCCATAGAAGCTGGATCTCTCTACTGCTGTCTTGACAGCCTGGGTAGGACAGGAGAGAGAAGCATGCTGGGATTTAAAAGTGTACATCTCATCAAGTGTACCTCTTACACCAGACCAGAAAGGCTAAATCCATGCCACGTTGTCTTGTTGCCTTCCCATGACAACCATAAGAGGAGTGAACGGGACCTGTCCCATCAACATTGCCAATGACACTCACCATAGCCAGGATTTCACCCTCGATGTGGAGAAGCTCTTCGTACTTCCCATGGGTAATATTAAATTTCAAGGGGACCTGGCCAATAAATATTCTTACTAAAAAGGAGAATAGGACAAGTTAGTTGGAACACATGTCTCTGTGCCACGTGTAGATGTGATTTCGCCTTACATGAGAGACTGTCTTTGAAACTCGCATCAGAGACTCACTGATTCAATAAAGCAAAGTCCCAGATTTGAGATTCATCCCAAGGGTTGCTGTGATGTTCCCACAGCCTCAGTCAAATTCCAGAGCTCAATGCTGCTGAACAGTCAGGATCTCACCGCAGCATTCGTACATTTCATATAGAAACACAGACTAATTTAAAAGGACCCCTGGACACAGGGACAGCTGGATAAATTTAGTAATGAGACAGTTTCAGGTACCAGAGCTATTTATAATAATTTGGACTAAATGTGTCAAATCTTTTACCCCTCCCTGCAATGTAAAGGAAAGCAAACCAGCAAGACAAAATAAAGTGCTGTAGAAAGGACATTTTCATTTTTCAAATTGTTGGACAGAATGAGCAATGACATTTGAAAAGAGGTCTAAAAAATGCATTTTTCTGTGCTTAGATTCATATTTGATTCATGGCAGCAGAATGCAATAATCCAAGTTGTCCAGACTCAGAGAGATAATATCCCTAAATCTTGCATTAAGTGTTATGAGATACTCAGTGGAAATGAGCTCCAGCTTTATGCTCCATCAGAAAAACAAATACGGTTGCAGATATCATTATAAAGCCTACAATTTTTTCCCATTTTTACCCATCCACAGAGCCTATCCTCACCATGAATTTTCTATCAAACAGCTCTAATGTAATGACTCTGAGTAAAAACGAGAATCACCTTCACAGTGTTTATATAATCTGCCCATATCCCAGTTCAAGGCATAATCAAAACAACTCTCTAAATTAGAAGCTGACACATTCCAACTTGAAGAAATGTTTCAAAAACACCCCTCAGGGACACCTCACCCATGTTTCCTTAGCAAAATTTCCATGCCTCTAATCCTCGCTGATTAAGCGTCAGAAGAAACTCTAGCAAAACAAATTCCCCTTTACAATGGGATATTGTAAGTCCTTGGGATCGAGAGTCCTCTAATAGAAAGGAGAGGGCCAGAACCTGTGTTCCAACTAATAACTGTGCTGCATGAAAAATGCTAAAGGTATGAAACAAGACCTTGATCTTACAAAGACTTTCACGGCTGCTTAATTTTCGTCACATGGCTGGTCCCACTGAAGCCAGGTTACACAATAGCCCCACTCACTTCTCCCAAGCCAAGTGTCATCGAACAGGTTTGCAGAGCTGGGAGCTGAATGCTTTTTGGGGGTTGTAAAACACATTAGGAACAGAAGGGGCACATCTGTCCTTATTAACAATCCTGAGCCCACCGCTCTGTTGCTGTGTTCTTAAGAAACCCTCAGCTATCACTGTGCCTGCTTCCCCGGGCAGCCCAACACGACAGGCATAAGACATTGCACTTGTATAAACAGTAAAAGGCCCTTGTTAAAAGTGGTGGTTGGGAGGAACGTTAAGCTCCTGAACTAGTCCGAGCCTAGGTTAATTTATTTTAGAACATTACAGGTAATTATTTCCATCTTTTTCTCCCCGTTTTTTTCACTTTTGTTTTCTTACCTAAATTGCACTTTCCTTTTTCCAGCTCGTATCCAAGAGGACATTGACAGATATAGGAACCACGAGTGCTGTTGCAGGTGGCCAGCGCAGGACAAGGGTTGGAAAGACATTTATCCACACCTACAAAAGCAGAAAAAAAAACCAGGCTGTAGTTAGAGGTTCACAAAAATAATCAACTGTTGGACTAAAAAAGATCAACTTGGCTACTCTTCTGTGACCCCTTGAGCACTATCAGATGCTTGATTGAATCATTTGCACACACTATTTATCCTGTTCTTAATTATTCTGTTGGAGCTGGAAGAATAAATACAAATCACTTTCCCTTGAATATTCATTCAAAAGCCCTTGGGATCCAGCGCTGATCCATGTTAATATGAACACCCAGCTTGTCTACAGCACTGCTCACCTGCAGATCTCAGGGTGCTTTTCAAAGACAAACAACCCTAAAGTTATGGATGGAGAGATTGAAGAGGGGACCTCGACAGCCAGAGCTAGACACAGGAACACAGGCTCCTTCACCAAAGCCCCGCTCTTTTCATCCAAGCCCTGTTTCCATGATCCAAAGCTAGTGCTTGAACACCGATGCAGTCTATAGTTTACCCAGTAATGATGGAGGCAGCCCTGGCTGTCATCACCTCCTTTACTGGGGCTGCAGCCTCCTCCGTGCCAGGTTGGGGATGGTCACAGCAGCGATACCTGCCTGTGCCACTGCTCATAATACACTTCCCGTTGAGGAAGCAAGGGCTTGGGGAGCAGACACCAACTGTGAAACAGAGAGTATCAGGGCATTAATGACTGTAGTCTTAGATGCTTCATAGATTAGCCAACTCAAACTGCAAATTCTGGAGAAGATATTCAATACTTCCCTTTGAAAAAAAACCCATGTCCTAGTCAAAAATGTTCCTCTTGCTGTGTATATGACTCACACGAGCACAAAGTATGTCACACGCATGTGCAAGGGCAGACCGTAGGCAGGACTGTGAACTTGTTGGTGACAAGGCGCTAAAAGATGAGCTTACACACCACTTGTACCTATTTTGTGGCTGCTGCCCAGCACTGCAGCAGAGGCAGGAAGGATGAACTTTGTGGTTAAAGCACAAAGCACGAGAGACAAACCCATATGTGTATTTCTGATGGCACCATGATAACCTGTGGCATCACGCAGGCCCTGCAGACCAGACAGTCCCCAGCTGACCTCCACGTTTGGACAGACCATTTGATGCAATCTCTGTACCTTGACTAGCCTGTCACAGCTACCTCAGCATCAGTGAGATTTGGTGCCTCAGATCTAAGCAGTCAGAAATGAGTGGGCTTATTTTAAAACATTGGCTTTCACTTCAGTTCACTGGGTGTCCTTCAGTTTGTTTTGTACAGTGGGGACCAAGGCAGCTTATTGTCTTGTGGCAGTGAATGCCCATGTACAAAGCACCATGTCCAAGGCAGCAGAAAGATCTTTTGCATTCTGGTAAATGGCAAAACTCAGTATTTAAAGGAAAGAGTAACCAGGCCTAAGTGTGAATCAATTGATAAAAAGGATACACTACCTTAATTTTTCCATTAAAAAAATCCATTCCCGTACAGTAATTTTTTTTTTCCTGAAGCCATAGCTGTAATTAAAGCAAATCAGCCTGAAAACTAACCTTTAAATACTTAATTATTGGATAGAATATATACTATTGCTAGTATTTCACAGAGGTTAATGCAATTAGTATACACAGTATCCTACAGCGGCATGAGGGCCAGGCTCCTGAGCTTCAAACACACAATTAATTTCCATTCATATAAAACTTCAGTCAATGTATTCACTTGAGAAGATAAGGAGCCTAGAGTGGTAATAAAGAACTGTTAACAACACACTCAGCAAGACTACAGTACGTGGCCTATCAGGAGAAACAACAGGCCCTTGAGTAGGAGATTAGTTAGTGACATGGGGAGAAAATGACCATGAGTGATAATAACAGTTCCAACACAAATACTAAGTGCTGGCCAACCGCCTTTTCTCATAAATAGGACAGATATTGATTAATATCGATGGATATTGTCAATCAATTGACAAATACAAAATGTTCCTATGCTTACCTGGAAGGCCAGCCAGTTTTATTTTCTTAAAATTCTCAAATTTCATCAGTGTTCATCAAAATGCTCACCTTTTTCCAGCAGTTCAGATGGACTGCTAAACCCTTAGCTTAAAAATGCCAACATGGAGACCTTACCCTCAAACCCTTGAGTTCTTATCCTCAAACCCTGCTGACAACAGACTTGACATACATACATACATAACCCTTTGAAGACCCTTAAAGTCGGACCTAGGTGTTCCTGGCCCCCTCATCCCTGGCCGCACCACTGATGAGTGCCATTAGACATGTTACCTGTTGCCGGAGATGATATCCTCAGCCTGGCCGTGCTACTTGACAGAGGAGTGGTGGTTGGTTTGGTAGCAGCCAAAGTAGTTGCAATGCTCACAGCGGTCTTGCTGGTTGGAGGGGCTTCAGAAGGACTCATAACAGGGATGTTTTCCTCAGTGACTCTACCAGGCCTTGCAGTGGTGGGGTCCACAGCTTCTGTGCTTTCATCAGTGGTATATACGTGCTTAGTGGCAGTGGGCGTTTGAGGTCTGTGGGCTTTCATGGTGCTAGCATCACCTGGGGTTGGCTGATGACTGGCCGGTGTTGTTAGCACCGGAGGTTTCACTGTGGTCAGTGCCACCGCTGGGACAATGATGCTGTGGTTTGTTGCACTTGGTAAGGGACTAAGGGGTGCATCTGTCAGCCCAGCCCTTGGGGCATCGCTGGCTGTGGTGAGCAGTGGTGTTGCCCTCCCAAAGCTGCCCCCCTGGGTGGTGTCAGCTCTCGGTGAGGTGGCCTCTGTTACTGTTGTGGGAGCGGACATGGATATGATGTGTCCACCAAGCTGCTCCATGGGCACTGTAGGGAGAGGAGACCCAGTGGAGGTGAAAGTGGTGTTGTTTTGGGGCTGCTGCGTGACATTGTGCTTGTTTGTCCCTCTGGCTGAGCTCCCAGCCACGGCAGCTGTGGAAGACACCTGCCTGACCACAGTCGTAGTTACAGAGGTGCTTGCTTGATCACTGTCATTGGACTGCGAGATGGATGGTGGTGATGAAAACAGAGGCAATAAAGATGCTAATGAAAAAGATGGGGAAAGCAATGAGGAAGTGGGCAAGGAGGACGACAAAGCCTGCATAGAGGGTGAAGATGCCATCACAGACGATGAGAGTGGCTCAGATGATTCTGATGATGTAAACAGATAAGTTGGTGGTGGTGTTGAAGACAGCGAGTGATGCAGTGATGGCAGTGAGGAAGAGGCTGGAAATGCTGATGAAGAGAGAGATGATCTTCCAGTGGTCAACAAATCAGAGTCAGTGTTGAAGAGAGTTGTATTTTGCACACTGGCTGCAGAAGCAGAAGTCAACAGTTTAGAAGAGTGTACCAACAATGGCTCTGTAGATGGTTCAACAAAACTGCCATCACTGGATACGTTGCTCCTCCTGTCCTGTGCTAGGGAAGATTTTGATGAATCAGAAGGGCTGGAAATTTCAGAAAAAAAGGTGGAACTTTCTGAGGAGTCAGCAGATGTGCTGCTATTTGAGATAGACAGGAGGGTCCTTTCTCCTCCTCTGGTATACGTAGTTGAAATATATGTGCCGTCCGTGTGAGAAACTGAGGTCCTTTTCTCAGCATTGATACTACTGCTTGGCTGATGACTACTTGAAAAGCCTGGAGTAAAAGGACAAAATATATTAGAAAGAGAGTAATACGAAAGTATTTTGATGTCATTTTAAAATCACTTGCTAAATACATAAAATGTTTTTGACTGTGAACTGGCCCAGAGCACCATCAAATGAGGAGTTTTCTGTGCTCCTTAATTGATTCTAAAATGGTGAATTCAGACAGACATAAGGCTCCCTTGAAACATGTAGTTTCTAAAACACTGTTCTTCCAGTGTTGCTTTTCCGATGTGATTGAGCACTTATCGTTCCATGATATTTTGTGGCAAGCTAAGCAGGAAAACCCATCTGTTCTCTTTATCACTCATAATTTATAAAAACTCATATCCTCTCCCTCTTATCCTCCATTCCCAACTAAAGAATATCCATCTTCTTCAGTTGATTTGTTTTTAGACACAGTGAACTTCATGCCTCTGCAGGATAAAATTATTACATTATGTTAATTTGCAGCTTATCATGAACTCATTGACTGAAAACTTTGCAGTCAGGAAATCCTAAATGACTAGCACATCAGTCTGCAAAAAATTCAGATAATTTAGTATCAAAGGCGCAGTCAATCTTATAATATGAATTTCAGGATGTACAGCTAAGTTCAGCAATCTCTCAATAAAAAATAGGATATTGAAAATTTGGTTTAATTCTAAAATTGACTTAGGTCATCAGTAAATACTTCTGAAAGCATCACCCAAAATAAATCAGATAGGATGCAAAAAAATAATGTGGCCATTAAAACAGAAGAATTTTCCTGCTCGGGTTCATGGCGTCACTTGTGGAACAATTCCCCAGCTAGGTGGGGTTTGGCTTTGAGTCCATTGATGAAAACATCCCCCTGAGTGAACCCACAGGTAGCACTAATGAATGAGAACTTTGTATACAACATAGATAAAAGCAGGACAATGTGATCTTTCCCCCTCCACACCCAGATGTACACTGGGAGTCACTAACTTACTTGTGAGATCGTTTTGGAAAGAAGAGTAAGTGGGTATCTTGGAAGAATGTGTGAAGAGTGTCTCTGTCACAAAGCCCGTGAAGCCCCCGCTGCTGGTGGAGGTGTTGGCCGTCCCGCTCTGCTCCGCGGGCTGCGCCGGCCCTGCAGAGCTGGCAGTTTCAGCATAGGAAGCAGAGCTCCTCGTGCCACCGGTCAGCGTGCCATCCGTCACCGAGTGCAGTGTCCTCTCTCCGCTGCCAGCAGATGTGGATGAACCGTACGCAGGATCAGTGATGGGGCCGGACATTCTTTCCTCAGTGCTCGAGCTGCTTAGGGAGTGATGGCTGCTGCCTGCAGCGGGAATAGGATCAAAAAGCAGGCATCTTATTTTATCATTTCAGAGCAGAAAGTACTTGTGAGTTCTACAATAATTCTGTCTGGAAATGCAGATTAATAAAATTGCACAGATAAACACAGATTAAATACAGATTAAGTAGGTCTCACATACTTATCACCTTAAATGTGGTTTTAACACACAAAGCCTATTCCAAAGGAACAGGACTATCCAAATACAGAGGGACAATCAGTACCTTTTAGAGTCATAATGGCATATTTATGTTATTTATAGTTATCACCTCAACCCAGGCAGGTAGTAGATGTATCCTACAGCGAGAAGTTACACACGTCATTTCTGACACTTTTTTGTTAAGCATCAACAGCTGCAGATATACTACATCAAGGAACAGAAACACCACTGCTTACAAATCCTGCCCATGACACTCGCAACAGCTCTGACACGAATTAGTGGTCATATCAACCTCACAGAAGAGAGAAAGGGAGAGGCGGTGGGTTTTTTCCTAATTCAAACACCATCCCAGAGTTCAGAAAAACTCACTGGAAGGTTCAGCGGCGGCTGAGAAGTAGGTGGAGACCCTGGATGAAAGGGTGACCTTGGGCTCTGGGTACCCTGTTCGGCTGGACGAGACATGTGCTGCCCCAGGCCATGCCGTGGAGGATAGAAAGGGGCCAGTGCGGGGCTCCCCAGCTGTGTCTGGGTGAGACGTGGGGCTTTCTGCCACTGTGCTCCACATGCCAGGGTTAGCTGCAGCCTGAGATGTCCCCTCCTCATGGCTGGAGAGTGTGGATGAGACGTACATGGTCTCAGTAGGAGTACCAGAAATTCTTACTCTCTCTGGAACTGCAAAGCAGAGATAAATAAATAAATAAATAAATAAATGCATACATACATACTTACATACATACTTACATACATATTTTGTATATTAATAATACCTTTGAGGCCTCTACAGAGACTAGAATCTGAATATTTCAATCCTCACAGCAGAAGTGGCACTTGGTGACCAACATCACTTATTTGCTATGCAGGGTTCCCAGGAAATCTGTACTTTTCCCCTTTACACAAGAAAAATAGATTGGGGTGCGTGGCATTTCTGAAGGAGAATGGTAGCAGGGAGGTAGGACCTGGTCTTGAATGTCCTGCAGAAAATTCCCTTGGGCAGGCTAGTGGGTTTCAAACTCTGGTGGGACCCAGGCAGCAGAGCTGAGGCTCAAACACATGAAAACTGGGATATAAGGAATGGCGAAAGGTCTACAGATCCCTTGCCACATCTGGTGCCAGGCTCCCAAGGTTTGAGGGCTGAGGTCAAGGCTCCACAGCAGCCTTCACCTGTGGCCCAGAAGAGCTGCCTGGCTGTCTAATCCCTGCCATGAGAAGCACTGCTCCAAGTGCTGTGAGGTGAATAACACACCAACCATGCAGTGCTCAGAGGCCCTCACTATAAACCGGGCTTACCAAAAAGGCAAATCTAGTTTAAAGTTATAAAAGGAAGAGTAGGAGCTCGGGAAGGGGGTGAGGAGGAGGGATGTCCTCCATGGCAAAACAGGAAACCACAAGACCCACCTGAAGCACTTGGTGAAGGCAAAGGCACTGAAATGCTGGGAGAAAATGCAGGCAGTGGCTTCGTTAGAAGCTCACCAAGTCGAGCACCACCCTGTGAAACATTGATCTGCCTCCCAGGCTCTGTTGCTGATGAGGACGGCAGAAGGGCCACGTCCAGGGAGCTGGAGTGGGGTGGAATGGGAGCAGAGCTGGATGCCGTGCGGGCGTCTGACACGGGGACTGTGCTCCTCTCCCCACCACTGGTGGCTATCACTGAGCTGGGCGTACTAGTGAGAGGAGCATCGGGAAGGTGTCCTCCTGTAGCCACGGTCCCTTCTGCTGAGAAAGGGCAAAGCAAAGTGGATTTTTACACCCTAAGCTATAAACAAGTGGACGTGCTCCCTTCCATCACCACCCCTAGGCTGAATGCACAGATAAAACATAGCAGAAGATCCAAACCTGGAGAAAAGGCTAACTATGAAGATACAACCTTTTCCTGTGCAAGGAGATGCTACTCACAGGAGGACACCCCGAAGAGGGCACTAGGAACAAGGTGTGGGAGCACTGTTGGGTTTGCTTCTCTCTGGTGCTGCTCCTGGTGCCACAGTCCAGCCGTGGGCACCACACACCCGCATTGGTACCGCAGCGGTGAGCGAGGTGGGGTACAGCGGTGCCTAACTCCCTGATACTCGAAATAAAGCACAGCAGGGTCATTTGGGATCAGTAAATGCTGCATCTGCATACCAGAGAGGGAGTCTGGAATGACCGGTGTTGCCTCCTGCTTGTATAAACACTGCCAACGGGGCAGTCTTGAAATTGTGCTGTCTCAGAAAACACACAAAATCTCAGGGCCAGAGTGTTCTTGCAGTAAAGCTGTTTTTGTCTGGTGACTAAATGCAAAAATCAGCTAATGAATTTTTCTCTGGAAGTTGAAATTTTCCTCCGTTAATACCCAATGCCATTGTCCAGGACCTTCTCGCATGGCCTCACTCCTCCATACAGAGTGGGTCTTTGAGGTCTACAGGAAGAAGCCCGACAGGGTTGGTCAGAGCTCACCTGGGGAAGCATGTTCCAAAGCAGATGGCGACCCTATGAGCAAGGGGTCTGTGGACAACATGGTGGCACCTCTGCCACCACCACCCTGGGCTCTCAAAGAGGACCAGGTATGGTCTGAAGAGCTGATGGTTTCGGTACCAGTGGTGAAAATCTCTGTTGTTTGGGTCAGTCTGGTGCTGGCTGGCAGAGACCTTAACGTCCTCCCTCCACCCTTAGTGGCTGTTGTGGAAATGGAGGTACTGGTGGTTGGGAAATCAGTTCTTCTTGGTGTTGACAGGATGCTGAATGACACATGGCTGCTTCCAGGAGCTACGATATGATACAGATAAAATTTACATTTTTACACAAGTGAAACTATAAATAACAGCGAGCTTTCTTCCAGTTACAGCCAGAGGCAGCAAGTACATGCACAATTCGAAAATATGAGATGTCAATCCAGAGAAAATAGGAAATTTCCCAAGACATGAATCCTTCCTACAGAAATTTGTCTTCTAAAAAGCATGGGTTTATGCTGAGAAAAGTGCTATTATATAAAAACTGTTGAACTACTAAAGCTGTGCACTTGATTTCACCATTATGTGCCTGAGTGCACTCCATGCTGCTAGAACAAACAAATACCCTAACAACCCAGAAAAGCCTGGAAATCAGACAAGGCATAACACTGAGCAGTGTGAAGGTCTTAGAGACGTCTGAAGAAATGGGATCAGGGGGATCAGACCCCTGCAACATTGCAGCAGGGTCTAGAAGCAAACAGCAACATGAAGGACCTCAGAGACCACATTCAAAGTTGCCTTAAATTTGTTGAGCTGGTTCAATTTCTGGGAAGCAGCATGGTCCAAGGGGTAGGACAGAGGGCAGGAACTGAAATCTTGTCCCTGGGACTGCAGGCACGTGATCTAATCCTTGCTTGATTAGTTCTCTTGCCTATAAAATGGAGATAGCAACTGGAGATAGTAAAAAAAGAATTTTGATTTGAAATTATTTTTCTTGGCATGAGGAAACTTTCCACACATGTGCCCTTTCTGTAAAAAACCCAAACCACATTTTTTGGTCAAGTAAGAGCTGAAATATTTCAGACACAAAAATCACACTGCATCCTTCCAAATAATATATTCTGCATAGCAGAACAGAGTCTGGCAAGTGTAAGATACAGTAACAGTCCTCCTTTTAATTACAAGAAAAATGTTATTTCATTTCTAACTTGAGCTCACCTGGGGAAGGACCTTCTGAAGGAGAATGAGAGCGTGTTAGCGAAGGGTCTGCCACCCGCTCGGTGAAATCCGTGATCTCTCTGGGCCCATGAACTCCAGAGGTGTCTCTCACAAAAGACGCAGACGAGGATCGGATAGTGCCCAGGGTCGCGTACATGGCACTGCTGGATGTGGAGACTTCTGCTGCCCATCGGCTGCTGCCTGTGGCAGATCTGGGGGGTCTCCCGCCACTGCCAGTGGCCGTGGCTGAAATGAAAGCATTGGTGGGAGAGGAAGCAAGGGTTTTTTTCTCTGTTGCTGAGTTGCTAACTGATTGGTGGCTGCTTCTGACACCTAAGAAACAATAAAACCAGGTTTGATTTATGTATATAGAGCTATACTTTTGAGGGATTGTGTGTAGAGCGTATGTTTCTATACTGTTCATTGAGAAATTGAATAGACCAAGTTCTCAAGCTGGAAAAGGTGCTGCTCTGGGAAGAGGCGAATCCTGTACATTCAAGTACATGTGGCTTATAAAAAAGCCACGAAAATCTCAACTTAAACCCTTGTTTTTTACCGGCAGGCTGTGCACAATACCCAATTTATGCATTTCAGCTGCCTTCCAGCTTGTTTAAATCAGGCATATACACTTCTAACTTTAAACCAAATCTAGAAGCTAAGCTAAAACAGGCCTGGTTTAGGTTGTCCAGTGACAGACCAGTGAGCCAAGCTGCTGTCTCAGTGCTAGGCTGATGGTACAGCTGAGCTCCCCACAGCACCAGGCACCCAGAGCCACACAGGTCAGGACACAGCCTCACCTATAAGATGTTCAGAAATACCCCTGTGCCCCAGCCTGGCATTCAACCATTAAACCCAGCCCTCTTTAGCAGACGTGCTGTCCTGGGGCTCTCCCAAACTGCAGCGCTGGGGATGCCGATATTTCACTAGCTCACCAGGAGCAGGAGCTGCACTACAAGTCACAGGCTTAATTGTGAATTAATGGTGAATGGTGGGGCAGAGCTCACTTGGGACCACTACAAGAGCACGGGGCAAGTTAGCACTGTCGTGGGCTGCAGGGACTCCCAAAACACCATCTCTCTTACAGAGCAGCCTGTATAGTGGACACAGCAACAGGTGACAGCTGCAAACCCCCAGTAAAAGTGTCTCTGGCAGGAAAAAAATCCATGCATGTATTTCTGACCAATGGCTGCTTTTCTCAGCATGGAAGTTTCATTAGCAATGAGGACATTGATGTTTTTCACTTTTTCACCCAGAAGCTGAGATCCACTCCCATCCTTCCCACCATGCCCACTGCCAGCCCAATGCAACCAGTAATAAAAATATCCATGTATCCAATAGCGACTGATGGCCATATCTAAAGAAAAACAGCACAGGGATGTGAAATCCATCCAGCTTCAAAGCAGCCAACTATCAGACTACAAATTTACCTCTGAATGTACTTTCAGAAGCAGAGAGGGAGCTTGTGAGCAAAGGCTCCCCAGGAGGCGCTGGGAGATCAGTGGCTTCCTGTGAGCCATTAGGATGGTGTGTTCCAGGCCCCAAGGAGGAGAAGGTCCCCCTCAAAGAGCTGGTGGGGTCAATGCTGGTGGCAGAACCCCTTGCCACCATGGCTGTGTGGCCGTTTGCAGGGGATCCCGGTGACCACTCTGCCACACTGGGCATGTCAGCATTGTGGGCATCCGAGTGCAGCGTTGCCTCTTCTGCAGCTGGGATGCTCTTGGGTTCATCACTGCTGCTGCTAAAGGCTAAAAAAAAGGCAAAAAGAAATATAAAACTGCATATACATAAATTAAAACAGCTGGATAGGTTTCATCCTATCAGTAGATGTAGACATCGTACGTGTGAATATTCAGTAAGGAAATATTTAATACTGGGAAATCATTAAGACAGGGGAAAAAATGTTCTCTATATAGGAACTCCTGAAATTATTGCTTGCAAAATTCAACTGAAAGTTTTCAAGGAAAATCTATCCCCCTCTTCCAACAAGAATAATATTTATCCATACTTTCATTTCTGTGAAATGTTTTTAAATGTACAGAATGTGCCAAATACAATATTATTCCTCCTTTCTTTAAAATAAAAAGGATGTGTTTTGTTTATAAAGAGTCTTTAAATAATGTTCTGAGTTATACAGCTAGCTATCAAACTCACTTGTGGAAGCGCTTTCCGAAGCAGACGGCGAGTCCATAAGCAATAGTTCTGTGGCACCTCTGCCACCACCACGCTGTGCTCCCAAAGACATCCCAGGGGTCCAGGTCTGGTCTGAGGAGCTGATGATTTTGGTACCAGAGGTAGAAATCTCTGCTGCATCAGCCAACCTGGTGCTGGCTGGCAGAGATCTTAACGTCCTCCCCGAACCCTTGGTGACTGTTGTGGAAACGGAGGTGCTGGTGGTGGGTAAATCTGAAACTCTCCTCTCCGTGGCCGAGATGTTGGATGGCTGGTAGCTGCTTCCAATGGCTACAGCATGATAAAAAACCCCTGGATTTATACGTATGAAATTATAAACAGATGGATCCATTTTCTTCCCAGATGCTTACAGCGCACATATGGATATTAAGCATAGGAAGTTTTCAATCTGGACAAAGTGCTCTTTTGGAAAGGCATGAATCCCCTCGCCGCAGGAAGACCTTGCACAAAACCCAGGGCTCACTGCCAGGACAACACGGCTTTGCAAGAGCCAGGGCAGCTCAGCCAGCAGGAAAACTCATGGGACAAGGACTGCAGAGACTTGCCCTTAAATCCCACCTTTGCTCTAAGACTGCTGGAAATCAGCCTGGGTTCTCTTAGTATTTTTCTGTAGCTTGAATATGGCATCAAACGGCAAAGGGGGGAAACCTGAGTGTGGCCATGTTCCCATATGAGCCTGCAGCTCCCTACACAACCCAGGGCTTAACGGGACACAGGGGAAAATGCTTAAGTAAGACTAAAACAGGGTAAACCAACAAATTGTAGACTGACCTAGCTTATCCATGGCAGTCCTTTCCGAAGCCAGGCGAGGAGGAGCGAGCTGGCGCTCTGTAGAGGGCTCGGGGAAATGTCCCTGTGCTGCGGCCACCGAGGAGGAAGCCGAGGCCAGGGGCTGAGCCATGGAGCTGGGCACTGCCCTTTGGATACTGGACCCTGGGTTTTCTGCAGCCCTGATGCTGCTCTCAGCAGCTGTGACAGAGGGAATGGATGTGTCATTGTGAGAACCCTGGAGATGTGTTTGCTCCTGGCAAGTCTCAGGCACAGGATAAGGACTTGGCAACACCAAGGTTTTCAATAAGTTCACATGGAGTGGGGCGAAGTCTCTGTTTTTGAGAGCTCCAGAAATAGCTGCTTGCAAAGCAAGCGAGGGGAAGCTGCAGAGCCCAGGGATCTCAGGTTTGATGTCCTGTACAGGTTGTTGAAGCACAGGCATCTCACTCTGTCTAGCCAAGAACAAACCCACCTGGCCTGGCTGTGAGCATGGGTACCAACCTCACCCCCCACTACAGCACCATTCGGGTGGGACACACCGCTCAGCTCGGGCTGGGACCTTGCCTTTGTTCTGCAGCTGGCCCTGAACCAGCTGAGATATGTTGAAGCTGCACATGCCCACCCTGCAGAAAACACAGTGATAAGGCCCAAAGACCTTTGGGTTTTTTTTTTAAGTGGAAAATGCTGGGGGATTTTGGACCAAATTATTTTTTCCATTGCTTTTCCCTGCTTTCAGCAGGGCATTTCAGCTAAATTATAACAGAGTGCATGCAAAATACAGCATCTTCTCCATTTCAAGAAAGCAAAAGCTATATAAAGGATTTTAAGGCTATAAAATAAATCCATGGGCCAGCAAAGCTCACCTCCAAAAGTGCTGTCTGTAGCAGGCAATGCTGTGAGCGAAGAGCTTGTGGAGTCCTCCATGACATCCCTGGGGTGTAGCATGATGTGGTTTGCACCACTCTGGGTACTGGAAGCTCGGGGAGAGGACTGGGGCTGTCCCAGAGAGCCAGGGAGGGGGATACTGGGGAGGGGTCGCAGCGTCGCCCTGCTGCTCCCCGAGGTGCTGGGTGAAGTGGCTGCAGTGCCTGTGGGAGGGCTGCCAGGCTGCTCCGTGCCCACCCAGTCACTCACTGGTTGAGAGGGACCACCGGTGCCTGCAAGGCAATGGGGGAAAGCAAATGAGAGCACAGAGATGGGCTGAGCTGCCCATCCAGAACCTTCTGCTGTCACCTCCCCCCACAGCCCACAGTCCCCTTGCCCGTATTCTGCCTACAGCAACTTTGTCTTTGGGAGCTGCACTGAGTAATTCATAATTTTTAAGGCCAGGAGAAGCCACACGGATCCTTCTCTCCACGCTTGTGCATGAAGCAAGCCAGAAAAGTGCCCTGAGCACACGGTGAGGATTGAGGGCCAGATCCAGGACACAAAGCTCTAGCAATGCAGGGGAGCCAGGCTTAACCGACGCCTGGTTTCTCCAGGGAACAGCAGCCACCTTGTTCCCAGGCTGAACTGGGATGGCTCACCCGGGTGACGAGTCTCTGCAGATGAAGGCAGCACCACCATTCTTGTCACATTGTCAAGTCCTGCCACATCCCAGGCCCTGTGGCGCCCGTCCAGCACCCTCTCAGCCAAATCGGTGCTGCTGGCTGCCAAAACTGGTGGTGTCCTCTCGGTAGCTGCAGGGGTGCTGGGAGAAGCAAGAGCCCTCTTGCCTCTCTCCCGGCTGCCCACAGCATGGTGATGGCTTCCAGCGGCTGGAAAACAATGCAGAGAAGGTCATGTTCTCCCTGGACAGGTTAATTTGTCTCAGCTGGGGTGGCAGAGCATCACCCAGAGCGGTACCCAGCCCTACTATATACAATAGGTAGGGTCACAGCTGTATTCTGTGTTTCCTCTAACACAGACCACACGGCAAGAGGGACTGTTGGGAACAGAGGGATTCTGTCACCAAAAAATATCGGTATTTCAAAATTTGTCTTCATTTGTGTATGGCAAAAGAAACCCAGATTTTTAAAAAAAACATTAAAAACGCAGAAGGCAGTAAGGAGCTTACACCAGGACAGCCATCAGCTGGCAGCCTGGGCATGCCAGCTCCACAGTCTAGTCCTGAAACAGGAAAAAAAAAAAAATGAGGAATTAAAAAATGAAAGAAAACATCTATGCTCATATCTCAACAAGACACTTATTTCATCCAGGGATATAAAGAAAAAACTGAGGTGGAGACAGGGCACTCAGCACAGCCTTGTCCTGCTGGTGTGGGAAACAGGCTTTGATTTAGTGCATGTTTAAAATGTACATTGGTTTACTCATGACCACAGTCCCACCAAACGTTGTGAAGATTATGAACAAGCCCAATGGTAAATGTTCACCTGCAAAATTTTCACATGAGGACCTCAGCTACAAATCATGACACAGCTGGTCAGGTATTTTTTGCTTGGGCACTTATAATCTAGGTTGGATTCACGATGGGGTTCAGCTCCTCCTGGGAGGAGGCGTGGGGATGCCTGAGGTCTCCGCTCTAGGCACAGCCTTGGATAGGCAGGACTCTCTGAGGTGCTGCTGGGTGGTGAATAATGATGGCAGCAGCTCCTGAGAATCACCTTCATTGTAATGTTTTTTAAAAAATCAGCTTTTCTGGGAATGGATTTATTCCAAAAATCTGACTTTCTAGCAGCACAGAGGGAATACTTCCTAATCCATCAGCTACGCTTGGTCCATGGGCTGGGTACAGCAAACAGGGACTCTTGCATCGATAAAACTCACCAGGAGGAAGGCTGCAGGCGGGCAGGTGGGTTGCTGTTCCAGCAGATGGGCTGTCTGGGGCTCCTGCTCCTGGTGGGGTGACATCTCCACCACTGGCAGGGGGACCAACATGCCCTGTGACCCTTCTTGCTGCCAGTACCACACCATGATTGACAGGCAGCAATGCCCTCTCCCTGCTCCTGGCCAGCATTGTCACCAGCTCTACACTGTCCACGAGAGACCCAGAAGTCCTTATCTCTTTTTCCGAACTTCTTCTCGCCTGATGGCTGCTTTCAATGACTGAAAGGAAAAACAAGAAAAAAATCCCCTCAGCACTGGATGTGCAGGCTCGGCTCGTTGCAGTAACACTGAGGCCAAGCTCTGATCTCATTTACACTAGAGAAAATTGTGCATAATCAAAACACAGACACAAAATTTATTTTTGGATTCACACCAGTGGAAATTAGATTAGTCTGTGGGGCCAAGTGCTGAAACCCACCGTTGAGCACAAGATTAATTCAATTCAGCACCCTCATGTTTTTTTTGTGTTAGGAGAAATAAGTCTTTAAAGCAGCAAAAGGAAAGTCTTAAGCAAATAATCGATGGAGATATGCACAGTGTGGAGTCCACAGGAGGAGTGTGTAGGTCTCCAGAGCTGATGGCCAGCTGGAGCTCAGCACAGCCCATGTGCCCTATTCCTGAAGGTGTGATGGGAGGCAGGAGGGCCCCCAGCTCTTCCACTCTCCCCACTCAGCTGGTGCTTGCTGGACACCTGACCTCAAATCCCACCACGTCCAGAGAGCTGGCATGAAGCTGGCTGAGAACCGCAGAGCAAACAGGAGGGTTGACATAACCCATCCAGCCACCACGAGGCACCAAGACAGAAGAGATCAATGAATGATGTGGATTACACTGGCCATCCAGGTGCTGAAGCACCCCAAGGTGATGGACATTTTGGCATATCTGACGTTAATGTCTACCAGAACATGAGAAACAAGAAGGAGAATTTTACGCATTTGCAGGTCCACTTTCTGTAAGCAAATGTGGCCCAAACCCCATCCTAAATGTGTTTGCATCTGCTCTCTTGCTCCTGCTGGAAGGCTGCTCCAAACTCCCACCTCTCCCATCATCCAGAACAATTTTCTCATTTCATTAGAAAATGAATAAACACATTCATGGAATAAATGTTGTTTCCCCAGCTAGCATTACCCTTTATAGCTTAGCTAGCTCTTCCCCTCTCTCCACAGGGTCACCACAGTGCCGATGTGTAACTGCAGCAATTTCATCCCCTCTTTGCACAAGTTTCTTCTGCATTTCGACCATCTGCTGTATCTTATGGACCCAAAAATTACTTCTCCCAGGGACGTCAACAGGCATTACATGCTTTACAGGATTTCCAACAGCACACAGATGTCTGTGTGCATCTTTAGAATATAAACATGTTCCAAACTGGGCCCTAAGCAAGGACTGAAGATGATATTCAGTGGTTGACTTCTCAGCTCAATCGTGAACACTGACCACCGGCAGCAGCAGCAGGACTTGGTGCAGTGGCTGCAGCTTCAGCCTTGGGTCTGCCATCCAGCCTGATACCGCCTGGATCAGAGCATCCAGTGACAGCTGCTGTGAGTGGTTTCAGTGAGATTTGCTGGGGAAATTGGGGTTTCCAACCCACAGTACCAGCCAGGGCTGCAGGAGGATTTCCCTGCATATCGGTCATGTGAAAACCAGCAGCAACTGTCCCTGCCCTACGTTACAGCACCGAGGCTTGTCTGGCACTGCAGCCTCAGATGCTCTTCAAAGCCCACAAGTCAAAGTGAGTCCTAATCACAGCTGTGTCATCTGAAATGGCAAGATCCCAGTTTTGTCCATCTTCTTTATAACAAAAACGCAATCTCTGGGCTGGAATAGCTCATTGCACTCTCCACTCACTCAGTGGGCAGAATGGGAGCCTGTCTAAGGAAACTGCAGTTTAGGGTGACAGGGCCTGAAAAGTCTCAAGAAACTGAGACAAGTCATATATTTTAGGAGGGGAACTCTCCTCGCTTTGCAGCTCGGAGATCCACCAGGCTACGGGACAGACATGTCCTGCCTGTCACACACATGGCATCTCAAAACAGGGCTGTGGATGATATACAGACAGCAGCTAAAGTCACTGCTCAGTCTCTGCCCAAAAGCTCTGATGTTGAAGGTTAAGCCCTGCACATCTGTCCTTGGCCTCCAAGCACTTTAACAAAGCTGTGCCTCAGAGAAACACCCGTGGGACATCTACTCCTTGTCTTGCGTGTGTACTTTGGGGTTGCTGTACCTACCATGCCAGTGGTGGCAATTTCAGGAGTGGTCTCCTCCATCCATCTGCAACAGCTTCAGTGGGAACTCACCAAGAAAAAAAACAGCAATGTAGGTAGGATAGTCTGCATTTCATCCTGGGAGTCTGAGCACCACGAGGCCCAAGGGGACAAGAGCCCCTCGGGTGCCTCTACTGACAGCCCCAGCCATGGCTGCGATGCCCTCCTCGCTGAGCAGGCGCTGACGTCTGGAGCCCGCTGTGAGCCACCTCCTGTCCCATGTAACAGGCTGCTTGTTGTCACCATTTGGACGAGGGGATGCAAAGTTGCAGGGGACGCTTGCTACGCTCATTTGCAAGCCAATACCCAGCCTGTAATTGTAGCCCACAAGTCCATTTATAGCAGCCCCAATGCTGAAAAATTTGGGTGTGCTGGAGGGCGGCACACTGAATTTCTCTCTGTTCCCCTCTCACTAAAAGCTTTCAGCTGTGCAACCCATGTTTACTGTGCCCCAGCAGCCAGCTTTGCAGCACAGAAAAAAGGCAGAGCAGCAGATGCTTAAAGAAACCCTTAGGGGATGAGTATAGACAGAGGGAAATTTGCTTTCTCAGGTTGCCAAGTCATTTGTCAACAAGGGCTCCAACCAGGCATGCTAAAATATATAGCAGGCACTGCACAAGCATTTAATTGCCACTTCTTAAAAATAACCCTGGAAATGCCAGCAAACAGTACCTTCAGCTAAGACCCTTGATCGAAAGCAACTAGTTCAAAGGTAAAATGCTGCTGGCTGCTTGTCTGGTTGTTGTTCGCCCTGCAAATCCACCTTGGAGTTTTCTCTATCCTCTTTTGGCTCTGCAGAGCTGCTGGGAACAAACTAATGCAAACCCCTTCCCCTTAACATGGGCGTCAGCTAACCTAGCTTTGAGTGCAGTCAGGGAATAGACAGGCTGAATAAGAAGGTATTATTTACACAGGCTTTTTAGAGTCATCCGGCATTTTTAACTCTGCCCTGCATGGTATGCCAGGTTCTGGTGCAGGGGGAAAGCTTTGTGCCAGTATGGGCTCAGCTCTCCACTTCGGTGCTTGCACAGTGCAAGCCATGCTGGAAAATCCAACCCACAGCATGTAGTAAGGAAACCCCAGAAAATCAGGCTGTTCAACAAACTAAACATGAAATCTCAGTTCATCACACAGCCATCAAGCCTGACAGAAGTGCAAGACAACTGCAATCTCCTCTTTGACTTGTCTGCAGAAATTAGCCTTCAGAGATGACCATCCACTGGAGTGGATGGACCAGATGCAAACTTCTTCCAAAAAAATACATGCAGGACCATCTGGCCTCCCCTAATGCTTAAAGTAGAGCAGCCCCTTTAGCTCAGGTACTGATTTGTCACTAACACTTTTGTCACATCCTAAACTGCCAACTGCCTTCTGTGGTTTAACTCCATGCAACCACAGCAGTCAAGAGAAATATTTGACTTCCAGCACAAAACTGTCCTGCCACCCGCTGGACTGGTGTTTTCCTTACCAGTTAAAACTAGCAGTGATGCTCACCAGACAGGTCGAGGCTCGGAGTTACTTTTTCTTCACAACCATAACAAGTCCGCAGCTTGCTGGGAGCTGAATTATAATGCAGCCAGAACAAACAGATCAAGTTCCAGCTGATTTCTTGAGGCTTTGGGTTTGCCCCTGGCAGCTCGGCTGGATGTCTACCTTGTGAGCCTCCTGAAAAATCCCTTTTGGACCAGCAATTTTCTGTCTCCATCCCTGGATGCAGCACAGGCATTGCCCTGGCCAAGAGGTGACTGCTGCCAGGACAAAGTCACGGTGATGCTCAAGGCTCAACCATGGGGCAGTACAACACAGAAAAGCACAATACTGCAACTTTTCAGCAGTGGCTGTGATCACTCACAGACATTTTAGGGCAGGGAGTGAGGAGGGATGTATCCTGCTAACACCAGGGGAGCAGGAGGATCCCTACAGACAGCATTTGGCAGGAGCATCGCAGCCAGCCAAAGCGCACCACGAGCTATCCCAGCCCTGCCGCTTTCCTGCAGAAGGGATTTTTCTCCTCAAAGGGCAGAAAAATATTCCCTCAAGCAGGGAAAGCAAATTTAATCTGTGTTTGCACACAAGGAAAGCCAAGAGCAGTTGTTCAGCTGCCCAAAGCAGCCCTTCACCCCTCAGCAGTCCCTCCTCGGGAGGGTGGCAATTCCCTAGGGACCATTCCCGGTACAGCCGCCCATGCAGCGGCTGTTTTGCCAGGGTTACGGCCACCCCAGGAGCATCCCACGTTGAGCTGAGCACGCGTGAAGCCGAAGCAGGCTCCTCCCGAGGACAGGCAGCTATAATTATAAAGTCCACATCTGTTAACGTTGCATAATCTTAACATCTGAGGTTGCAAGGGAGGGGAAAAAAAAAAAAAACCCTCATCTCAACTTAGAAAGCTCCTTGCCGATTGTAGGAAAAGGTTAGGAAGAAAGGCAGGCTGCGAGGGAGGAGAAGCGGGGAGCAAAGCCGGAGCTGCCGGCCCCGCAGCGGGTGGCACGGGTGGCTGCCGGTCCCCGCCGGGGCCGGGGCCAGGCTCTGTGCTGTGTTTTGAACGGCTGCTGCGGATGTCGGGATCATGGGTGGAGGCCGGTTAGGAGCCAAGTGAGTTTGTGCGAACAAAAGCTACAGCCCTAAATCTGGACCGTCCAGGGCTCTCTGGGATTTTTGATTTCCTTCCTTGTTCTTGCCCTGAAAGAAGCAGTACGAGGCGGGGAGGGGGGGAACGGGGGGGGCTGAAATGGAGCTTAGAAAAAAATCTTCATACTTGAGACGGGTTAGTTGAGCGTAAACATGCTGATAATATTGCTTGGGGAAGGTCCCTTATGTGCACTAAGCACGGGAAGAATGCGAGAGGTTTTTAAACACATACAGTCAACTCTTTTTTGCTAATTCTTTCAATATTAATAAAAAGAATTATTCAGCTGGATGAAGGTGGCAAGAGAGGGTGGATGGGGAAGAGAAGAGGTGCAGGAGTCCTGCCAGCACCTCCCACCCTGCTGCAGGGATCAGTTTGGATGGGGTATCCTATAGATGCATCCCCTGGCAGCATCTTGTTCTGGTCCTCATCCTCCTCGTCCCCTCCCTACCGGGTCCCAGGCAGAGCAGGAGAGCATTTTACAGGACTTTAAATAATTTAAACCATAGTACAAAGGATTTATCCACTACCAAAGGTGGCTGGAGCTTCAATATGTCAGCTTGAGAAAGGTGATGGGGTCTTAATGCCAACAGCAGACCCTGCAAGCTCTGAGCGCCAAGGTCCAGGTGGTTAACACCTACCTGGCCACCACAGGTGATAGGTGCCCACAGGGCTGGGGACATCGGCATCATCCTCAGACCCTCCTATGCCAGGCCATGGCACTTTGCTTGCAGTGCTGCTTTACGACACAAAACATACTGCACTTCCACACCACCTCCCCTCTGGGACTTGTAAAATCATGGAGGGTGCTAAAGGCTTTTTGCTTCCTACCCTTTTTTTCATGATCCCAGAGTCTGATGCTTGGAGATGCCATAAGAAAACAAAAGGATCCCATTACTGCTTTTAAGAGCAGTATCCTAAAGCAGAGAAACAGGTACTCCAAAACAAAGAGCACACAGAAACCTGCGGTCGTTTCCAAAAGCATGGGATGCATGCCTACGGCCTGCCTGCAACCAGGGATAAAACCTGCACAGTGCAGGGACAGGATATTGTCCTGCTTATCCAGTGGTTTCCAGCCTCTTAATTTTGGTGTCCTAAACTTTTCCCTGAGGAGGTGCAGGCTCCCGGATCACTAGCTCAAGCCTATGAAATCCTGAGCTTCTTACTCATCTTTCTTGGACGGTTTGGGTTTAATCCAGGCATCCCTGGGACCGTGTGGACCCATGCTGCCTGAAAACCACCAGCCCAGGGCTCAGAGCAGCACCTTAAACCTCTTTTCATGAGCTTTTGTTTTTAAATGGCTTTTGGAAACTGAATTAAAAATCAAACAAACAAACAACAAAAACCCACCTGCTTTATTGTCAAGTCTTTGGTAAACACATTCAAATAAAAGTCCACCTCCAATAGGGATAAGCTGTCTCATGACTACCCATACTCCTAAAAAAAAACATAACGGTGCCAACGCTCCAGTAAAATCCCAATTCAGCCAGCCAGCAAAGAGGGGACTGAGCCTCCAGCCCCAGAGAGGCCCCACAGGGCCCTGGGACCCATGTCCCTGCTGCCTTTCCTGAGCAGAAAGCCCGAATTACCTGTATTTGTTTGCTTGCTGGCTCATTTATTTTCAACCTCAGTAGTGTCTTAGTCCGTCTCCTGTGTCCTGTCCCCTGTTCCCATTCCCATCCTGTCCTGTGTCATCCCCATGTCCCGTCTTGTCCCATCCCACCCCCAGTGTTAATGTGGGAAAAGCTCCTGTAGTCCCAGGGTGTGAGAAGGCAGCTCTGCCCCAGCATCAGCTGATAGGGCCCAGGAGCACTTCCCAAAGGGATTTCTTTCTCACTGTTTCCAGTAGACATTAATAAAAATAAGTGAAAAATCTCCACAGAATGCACAGTCCTCTGAGCATTCACCCCTTCTCTCCATCCCCTCTCCCGCCACCCTGCGATGCTGAAATATCTCCAAGCACCTTTCCTGCCCTGCAGATCCCACATTCCAAATCTCAGCACCACCTAAATTCACTCCTAAAACCCTCCTGGCTTTTCTGTAATGTCCTGCAGAAATGTTACAGAAAATAGCACCCACGCAGTGCTTCTCCTTCCCCTTTCCAGGGTTTTTAAAAGTCCCCTGGAAGGTTGGCTCAGTGGGAAGGCAGTTCTACCCTTGCAGGCACTCAGAAAGTCTAAGCAAGAGCTGTGCAGGGACCCAGCCCGGTGTCACTTTAACTTCTGCTCCCATCTGAGGGCAATGCTGCTGGAGACTGTCAGACGGCTCGGGGAGGAAGTCTCCTGGCAAGGCTCCACCAAAGTGGAGTTGCTAGGTCACTGGAACAATAAAAAGGCAAGAAAAAACATCCTGGCTGCAAAAAAGAAAAGGGAAAAAAAAAAGGGAAAAAAGCCATGGCAGTGTGTACAGTGCTGGTTAAGTGGAAAGAAACAAGGCTGGATGGAGAGAGCAGGACGATGCCGCTGCTGGCTTTTGTAAGCATGCAACTTAATTCCTAACAAGGACCTTTCTCCAGTGCTCTCACATGAAAAATTCCAGAAACCTGGAATTTCTCTGTAAGGTTAGCAATTGGTAAATCTCACATGGGGCAGTGCTTCCAGGGAAGCTAGCCCACTGCTGCTCTGGAGAGATTAACTACCCTTTGCATGTTAACCAGGGCATCACAATCCATTGCATGACTTTCTCGCACCATTACATGTCCCCAGCAGCTGACTGTTCATTTAAACGGGTAAGAAAACTGCCTCCAAGTGAGTCTGGATTTCGGCAATAAAGGGGCAAGCAGCCCCACAAGGTTCAGAGCGCTGCGCAGCCCAGGGGCTCAGGCTCCTCCATAAGAAAGGTGCTAGCAGCTTAGAAACTGCAGAATGAAATTTTGCTTTCTGAAAACTTTAATTTCAAGGCCAGAAGGGAGCATTAGCTCATTCCGTCTGACCTCATGTATAACTAAAGTCATTCTGTGTAGCTTATTTACTCCCAATATAACCTCAGTGACTTGTATTTGACTTAAATGGATCTTGCAGGGAAAAAAATCAAACTATTGATTATTTGGGATTGTGCTTAAAACCACAAGAACTATGGGCTGAAGCACAGATTTTTCTGCACAAAACCTCAACGTGTAGCAAAAAAGCAATGCCCAGCAGTGTGAAGCATACGTGCAGCAGGAGCCATCCACCCCAGGAGCCGAGGACTCCAGCCCTTTGCAGACCCAGGTGAAAACAAGGTGGTATTGTCATGTCAGACTCTGGAAACAAAGCCACAGGTCCCTGCTCCAAAGTGGTGTGAGCCCAGGAGCTGCTTCTCACAGCCAGGAGGGCACAATAAATACCAGGAAGATGGAGGAAAGAGTAGGAAAAGGGTTACTACTGTGCTGAGAGGTCACATCGGGAGCAGCCGGGGGCTGCCCTGGGTCCCTGAGGGCCAAGCAATGCTGCCCATCGCTGCAGGATGGGCTTTAGTCCAGGTGTCTTGACCAGAACCTGCTCTAGCAATGCACTTAAGAAGAGCTCCCCAGAGAACTATTCTCCATGCTTAAACTAAGCACACACCAAAGAGCTTTACTGGCTGGCGGCCACACCAGGCGTGATGACCAACCTGGGAACTGAGCAACTTTCTCAAGGACATGGTGGGGACAAGAGGAATGAAGGGCCCTCTCGGATGCAGGAAGATCACAAAGCCACCAAGGGGTGGATGCAGTCTGGTGACACACAGACACAAAGCTCACTGGGTTCTTACCTCCATGTAGAGTAGCAAAATCCAACCCCATCCCAGGGGAAAACTAACAGCAGCCCAAGCCTTACACCCAGTTCTCACCTCCTAGCTGAAGGTGGGATGCAGGGCATGGTGTCATAGCAGTAGGAACCATGGGTACTCCCATGGCTCTTCTAGCAAGGGATGATGAGACTTGGGAGGGGATGGAGAAAAAAGCAAACAGGCAAAAACTAAAGCAGCTTAAAGAGAAATTAATCCCCAGAAGAGATAAGGGCCCGCACCTCCCTTCCCCCATCTGCTGTGAAAGGATGATGATCTAAATCGCATTTCCTAGATGACACCGCACCGATCTGCTGCCGGAAGCAACTGTGGCAGGGCTCAGGATGGTGCCGGACCTCCTTCTTCCAGGGGATGAGCCAGGTCCTTCCCCACTGGCACCCACCGGCCGGTCACCACTGCCACCACAGAGGAGCAGCGTGCCCTGGGCCAGCTGGAGCAGGCATCCCTCCTGCTGCCCTGCGCTGCTCTCCCACTGCCCTGCGCTGCTCTCCCACTGCCTCTGCAGTCACATGTTTCCTTTCTGAGAACCAGGAGGGAAGGGGTTTACCATTTCCAGTGCCTTTCCGCATATGTTTCAGGAGGTTGAAAACAAGACACCTCCTCTTTCAGCGTCATGCAGGTCTCTGCTCTGCAGCAGGCAGCCCCACAGCCGAGCCCTGTGGCCAGCAGTGGAAATGGGTGATGAAAGGGCAGGACTAGGCTGTCACTGAGGACTCACAGGAGTCAGGGTCAGGTCACAGCCTACATTGGTGCATACGGGCACTCTGTGCTGAGCAAGGCAGTGCAGAGGATGAAGAGGCCAGAAATCTACATCCAAACCCCATCTGTCCACACACCGACTCACATTACCCATATAGAGCCAACCTCACACCAACTGCCTTGGCACACTCGTGCCATCAAGTAACCATCAACTGTCAATCTTAACCTAACATGTGACATGGCTTACCCAGCACCATACGATCTCCAGGCATACCAGCAATTTGCAGGACAGGATTATGGGGATCTCTGTCTGCATGGTATGGACTGTTCTCGGAAGCCATGAAACTGCTAGTACTCCCATTCCCCTCCTGGTCCTCATTTGGCTTTCCTCATGCATCGGATTCACTCCATGTCCCTCAGAAGAGACCATCTTCATGATTATTCTACACTCTCTGATCAAGTTTCCCTCCTAAGAAACATCTTTTCAAAGGGCTTTTATCTGCAAGGTTGGCTGCCAGTCTAATACTGCAGCCCCATTCTATATTTGCTGAAAGAGCTGATAATGTCCAAAAAAGAATTAACATTTAGATGTTAGTCCTGTAACTGAATCCGAATCAAACAATGATGACTGTTCAAATGCCTAAAGCTACTCAGGGGTATTTTCCTTTGAGCTCTTCCAAGCCTGTACCAGGGGTAAGGAGCTTTCTAAAGATGCCTTTGTGAGCACCAGCTACTGAAACCCTTCCCCTTGTCCCTCCAGACACAGATACAATTATGCACAGCTCCAGCACAAAGATAAAGGCTGAATTACAAGAGCAGTATTATGCTCCACAATCAGGGTCCTTGATTCCAATTGACAAGGAAAGCAAATCATGCGCGGTTGGTTTGCTGATGTTTCCACTCCTAGAAATTCATTCCCATCACAGGGGGAGACATCAGTTCAATACACAGAATTACCTTTTGCGTTATTTCCCCAGATTGCTAAATTACCTTAACTTGTCAGCTCATGAGATCTTACAAGTTATGCAGGGTCAAACCTGGCCACCACTCGTATGGGATATCTTTCTTTGTAGAAGGTTTAACTATCAGCTGCTACAGTTTCCCTGATAAGAAAGTGTTCTCTTACCTATAATGGCACAGATGCAGGGGGACAACTGTTCAGAGAAGCTGTGAAGCCTTTCTCATGAGTAAACTTTTTTTAAAACCTGTTTTTAAATGTGTTAGATAAACATCTGGGGTGATCCTGCAAGGGGAGATGTCTTGGGATCCCTTGGGAGATACCTTGAGATCCCTTCCAGACCTGCCTTTTGCTTTTATAGAGTGGTCTAAAAACCAAACCAAACCAAAAATCCCTCAGATATCCAACCGCCAATCTCCACCCCTCAATTTACACATACTCCTCCCTGCAAGACAGGTCCTGCTGCCCTGGGTGGGCTGCTGTGCCCTGCTGCTAGGCTATCACAGAACGTATCTTTCCATTAATATATTGAAGCCTAATCTTCAACTTTGTGTGATTCATCCTCCCTTCAGTGAAGCTGAACAGAGCGTGATGTTTCACACCGGTCCTCGGGGCTTAAGAGATTTTCCACAAGAGGAAGGGTGTTAACACCAGCGTCCTAACAAGTGGTGACGTGGATAATTGTACTCTATAGATTCAAATTCCTCTTGTCACTCCAGATGCAAAAGTGCCTTTTAGCATGCTCTTCAAGAAAAAAACAGCCTTCCTTTGCTACTGGCAAACCAAAGGAGCCTGCCCATCAGTCCAAAACTCCTGAATAGGTTTCTTCCAGGATCTAGAGATTCCTGAGGGAATCTTAGGGTGGTTCTGGTAGAAGAAATGACAACGATGTCTGTCTAGTTATAGAGGCAAGAGGTCAGACTGATTCCTGTAATGGCCTTTAAAACCTCTGCCAATCCAGCATGCTGAAAAATGCTGAGAAAAACACCCCGAACGTGTGTGTGCAACACACTGTCCCCTGGGAGATGCAGCCTGGGCTGCATCCCTGGGACAACCATTAACCCTGCCAAGTTAACCTTTCATGCACAGTTTACATGCCTTTCTATCAGACCACTTAAAATTCCTCCTCACTCCTTTCCCAGCTGATTTCATCCCAGAGTTAAACTAGCTCAGGGTTAAAAAAAAGGGTATTTTCTCCCAAACTTCAGCTGCAAGATCCTTGTTGCCATCTAACCACTGTGCAAAAGGTCCCTTAAACATCTCTGTGTTTGCCTTGGTGAAAGAACTGCAAAGGTCACGGCATTTCCAGAAGATTTTTTGCAAGCACTGACTGGTAAGCCCAAGATGGGGTGCTCACGCAGATGGGCAAAGGGAAGGACCTGCAGTATTTAGTCACACTGCAAGTGACACGGTCAACCTCAAACAGCTTAAACTGGCCAGACCACAGTCGAGATGCTGCAAAAGTCGTTTTAAAAGTCCTCCTAGCTTCACATCCTTGCAAAGAATGAAAAGGCAGATGGAGCTTGCTTCTCCCAGCGGAGAGAGTCAATCTGCCAAGGCCAAAGCACTTGCACCAGGTATTCAGACAGCTGGACAGAAAACAACTGGGGTTTCACCCAGTTTTCCTGCTGCACTGCCCTGCACTTCTTTGCACACCCTCTCTTTTCCTAGCAAAGCAAGATGATTCAGATGGGTTGCATTTCTCCTGCAGATACACCGGCAGAGCCCTGCCAAGCAGGAGTGTCTGAAACAGCCCCTCCGTCTGGACTCAGAAGCCTCCAGAGTTCAGCTCTGAGCTAGCGGTGTTTTTAAATACAGCCAGCCTGGACTCGTTTTCAAGGGTTTTTTATCTACCACCTCGACAGCCAGAAGCTCTTTTTCTTCCCCTCTAAGTGATTCTCCTGTAATGACAACTCCAGGGTTCGGGGTTTTAAGGAAAGACAGCCAAAGCTTAGGAAGCTCTCAACACAGATCCTGACTTCTGGCAGCAGCGCTCCCTCACCCACAGCCGAGATGCTGACTGCAGCTTCGGAGATGCTTAAGTAACCAACTGCAAAACTATTTAACAAATAACTGCAAGTCAAGGGCACAGTGGATGCAGAAGCCTCCTCAAGAGCCCTGCCTGAGCAGAGGACAGGCAATGTGAAATACCTTCATCCGAAGCCGTGGGAGGGACTGAGGGCAGCAGCACAGGAGAGGCAACAGCTTGAAGGATACTTCATATAAGCGCCCTGCTTATAGGAAATAGGTTGAGGTTTGCATTTCAGGCACTTTTCAAATGATATTTTTATATTTCATGTATTTTATACTGCTTTCTGAAGACATGAAGCTCCTGAGACAGCTTTGTCTGTCCTCCTACATTGAAACAAATTAGCCTGGAAGCAGAGATCTCCAAGACAGCAAGTTCCTACAAGTTTTATGAAGACCACCACTTTGCTAGAGAAGAGTCTGGCTTGGGGAGCTGCTGCACCCAGATAAAGGAGGGTCTCTGTGGCTTGGTCCATGCCCTGGCCGTGGGACCTGTACGCACTCAGCACCCACAGAGCCCAAAATAAACCACAGCACACATTACCACCTCCCACCCCATGGTGAGCAAACGAGAGCAAACCACAGGTGCTGCTATGGAGTAACTATCACATGTCCCTCCCTTGCATGGGTTTGCCCAAACACCGACAGTTCTAAAAATGAGCCTCTTTCTCCCTTGGTTTTACACAATCAGAATTTTGACCCCAGCACCCCAGTGAGTTGATCCCTCCAGTTGATCCCTCTGCTCACCCTGGCTCTGCCCGCTCCTTTTCCAAGCTCTTCAGGACCAGAGGTGAACATCATCCCATCCAGCACCCAGCTGAGATAAAAAAAAAATTAACAGCAAAGAAGGGATGTGACCCAAGATCCTAAATTCTGTATTATATACCTCACTGTATTCAGGTCCTATGAGAGGTCCTCATTTTAAGCAAGAACTGGTTCTTACTCCCTTTTTCCCTGTTCTCTCCTGAGCATGTCAGTAGACTGGGTCTGACAACAGCGTTACTATAACACAGGCAACAGCTACGCTAACAGCTTGGAGGAGCTGAAGTTTACAGAGCTTCCTTTACTCGAGGGAACTGCATTTTTCTAAGATTATATTATTACTTGGGCTGGTCGCTCAGTAATGCAACATCATTTCCCTTTTGGGTGGGAAAGTTCTCTCCTTGTCCTCGGACGCAAATGATTTCAGCCTGAAAGGATGAATGCGAACTTTGCATAATCAAAGAGCCATAAGTGAACCGTGCCCCTTGCTGAAGTGGCAGGATGTCATGGTATCACACCCGGGCATTAAAAAGTATATGGTGGTGGGTGTACATGCATCAGCTGTATGTACGCAGAGAAGGGTGAGAGGGAAGGATGGCCAGATGTGCCAAAACCATTTTCTCCTGATAGGCACACAAAGACTTCATTCT